GATTTTGAATTCATGGTAAATGTAGGCCAAGAACTAGTCAGGGCCGGAGAAGTTTTGTTCTTGCTCTAAGATAGTCTGGGGAGATCCAAAACCAGGAAGAAAATTCGTATCTGAAGTGCTTAGGATTTCTCTCATGTCCTTGCTTAGAATACCCCTAAGGAACAGCAAATGGCCTCATGTGATCTCAGGCCCAGGATATGCAGGAGAGCACAACAGCTCTGCTGTGGCCTGCCCATCAGACAGGCATGTACAGGCAGCAAGACAAAGGGAAAATTGCAGGAACCACAAAAAGGCTAAGATGAGGCTAAGGAAGATAGTCACTGAATCCCACACGTCAGATACAAAGAAGTGCGTCTGGCACTATGCTTAAATCATAACCTATCCTCAAGACTGGGTCATATATGAGTTCACACTAGTCATTTCATGAAGATTTTAAATTTGGTTTTTGGTTTTGTTTTGTTTTGGTTTGGTTTGGTTTTTGCAATGCAATGGCTTTTAGGATAGTCACAGAGTCACACAACCCATAACCAAAATCACTTTTAGAGACTTCTAGCCAAGATGGAGGCATAGATACATATACATTGCCTCCTCACACAACCAACAGAAGGACAACAACAAATTTCAAAACAAAAATCAACTAGGACTGCCAGAAAATCAAACTGTATGGAAGTCCAACAACCAAGGAATTAAAGAAAAAACATTCATCCAGGCCGGTAGAAGGGGCAGAGATGGGCAGCTGGGGCAGAGGGCATGCGTGGCAAGGCTACAGCTGGCAGACCAGGTGGTCCCACATTTGCCTGCAGAAAAACTGGGAGGAACAACTGGGGAGCAAGACAGAGCACACAACCCAGGGTTTCAGTGCAGGGAAATCAAGCCTCAAAACCTCTGGCTGTAAAAATCTATGGGGGTCGTGGTGGCAGGAGAAACTCCCAGCCTCACAGGAGAGTTCACTGGAGAGACCCCAGAACATACACAAACCTACCCACCAGGGAATCAGCACCAGAAGGGCCCAATTGCTTGTGGGTAGTGCAGGAAGTGACTGAAAGGCGGCAGAGAACCAAGCAAGTGGCATTGTTCCCCCTCCAACCCCTCCCCCACATACAGAGCCACAACACAGCCATATGGGTTGCCCCACTCTGGTAAAAACCTAAGGCTCCACCCCTTACAACATGACAGAAGCACAGAGACAAAGAAATATGGCCCAAATGAAAGAACAGATCAAAACTCCAGAAAAAATAGAACTAAGCAATGAAGAGAAAGCCACCTATCAGATGCAGAGTTCAAAACACCAGTAATCAGGACACTCACAAAACTGGTTGAGTGTGATCACAAAATAGAGGAAAAAGTGAAGGCTGTGCAAAGTGAAATAAAGAAAAATATACAAGAACCAACAGTGAAAGGAAGGAAACCAGGACTCAAATCAATGACTTGGAGTAGAAGGAATAAATAGACATTCAACTAGAACAGAATGAAGAAACAAGAATTCAAAAAAGTGGAGAGGCTCAGGAACCTCTGGAACAACTTTAAACGTTCCAACATTCGAATCAAAGGGGTGCCAGAAGGAGAAGATGAAGAGCAAGAAATTGAAAACTTACTTGAAAAGGTAATGAAGGGGAACTTCCTCAATCTGGCAAAGGAAATAGACCTCCAGGAGATCCAGGAAACTCAGAGTCCCAAAGAAGCTGGGCCCCAGGAAGCACACCCAAGGCACATAATAATTACATTACCCAAGATTAAAGATAAGGAGAGAATCTTAAAAGCAGCAAGAGAAAAGAAGACAGTTACCTACAAAGGAGTTCCCATAAGATTATCAGCTGATTTCTCAAAAGAAACCTTACAGGTAAGAAGGGGCTAGAAAGAAGTATTCAAAGTCATGAAAGGTCAGGACCTACATCCAAGATCACTGTATCCAGCAAAGTTATTATTTAGAATGGAAGGGCAGATAGAGTGCTTCACAGATAAAGTAAAGTTAAAGGAGTTCAGCATCACCAAGCCCATATTATATGAAATGTTAAAGGAACTTACCAAAGAAAGAGAAAATCAAAACTATTAAGAGTAAAATGACAACTCACAACTATCAACAACTGAACCTAAAAAACAAAAACAAAACAAACTAAAGAAACAACTAGAACAGGAAAAGAATCACAGAAATGGAGATCACATGGAGGGTTATCAGTGGGGAGGAGAAAAGGGGAGAATAGAGGGAAAGGTACAGGGAATAAGAAGCATAAATGGTAGGTTCAAAATAGACAGGGGGAGGTTAAGAATAGTATAGGAAATGGAGAAGCCAAAGAACTTACATGTACGACCCATGGACATGAACTAAGGTGCAGAGGGAATGCTAGCGGGAAGAGGGGTGTAGGGTGGTGGGGAATAAAGGGGAGAAAAAAATGGGACAACTGTAATATAATCAATAAAATACACTTTTAAAAAATCACTTTTAGAGTATTTTTCATCACACAAACAAGCCCTGTACCCGTTAGCAGTGCCCCTCTATTTTCTGCCCAACATCGATCTGCAGCCCTAGGCAACCGCCAATCTACAGCTGTCTCTATAGATGTGCCTATTGTGGGCATTTCATACCAATGGAATCATGCACTGTAAGTGGCCTTTTGCGACTGACCTCTTTCACTTATCATTATATTTTTAAGACTCATCTGTGTTGTAGCACGAATGAGACAAATGCTTTACCAGAAGAGCTTTCAAAGGGAGACGAAAATTAGGATCTTGAAGATACATTTGCACCGCATGTTCATTGCGGCATTATTCACAAAGCCAAGACATGGAAACAACGAAATGTTTGTCAATGGATCAAGGGCTAAAGAAATGTGGTACGTGTAGACAATGAAATGTTACTCAGCTACCAAAAAGAAAAAAGAAAATCCTGCCTTTTGTGACAACATAGATGAAATTGTAGGACATTAAGTGAAATGAGTCAGAGACAGACAAATACTGTATGATCTCACTCACATGCAGAATCTAAAAATAAAAGTCAAGCTCATAGAAACAGCGTGGAAGGGTGGTTGCCCAGGGCTGAAGGATGGGGGAAATGGGGAGACGTAGGCCGTAGGCCGAAGGGTACAACTTTCTGTTCCAAGTGCTGGGTCTCTAACACACAGCATGGCGACAGCAGCCAACAGCACTGCATTGTATACTTGAAATATGCTGGGAGTAGATCTTAAGCAATCTCACCACAAAAAAGAAGGTAGCTATATTAAGTGATGGATGTGTTAATTAATTTGATTACAGCAGTCATTTCACGATGTATATGTGTGTCAAATCATCACACTGTATAATTCAAATACATACCATTTTATTTGTCATTTATACCTCAATAAAGCTGGGGTGGGAGGAAACCTTCTGTGGGCACCTTCGATGTGAGGTACGGGTTGTCCAGAGCAGAAGCTTTGCAGACAGCAGGAGAGAGGTTGCCTGGGGATGTGGAGGGGGAGCGGGGCCTGGGTTACCAAGGGCACAAGGAAAATTTGGGGTTAGTTGAGGTGATGGTTCCACATACTTATGCTAACACTCATCAAATTGTGCATTTGAATAAGTGCAGTTCATACCATATCAATCATACTTAAAAGCCTTACAGATCGCTTTTCAAACAAAATGAATTATCTGAATGTGAGGTGTTTGCCAGGACCCCACTCTTGCCTTGCTGTCAAAAGCCTGGCTGTGATCAGGGCTATCTGAGGACAGCCTTAGGGAACACTCACCGCTCACTGGCTCACATTCCGAGGAGCCAGGGAACACGTCGGGACCCCTTGAGCCCAGGGCTTCATCAAAATGTCCTCATGTAGCCACAATTTCTCACAATGTTCTCAATTATTTTTTTAATCAAGATTCAAAATAAGAACTGGTCATGTGAAACACATGTGAATACTCTTTTTTGCAAGACAGAAAAGAAAAAAAAAACAAAAAAGGAAGGAAGAAGGAAATTTGTGGTGGCCAGAATAACAGACCCTCAAAGACATCCACATCCTAATCCCTGCACCTTGTGTATTACCTTACATGGCAAAGAGGGAATTAAGGTCACAGGTAGAATTAAGATTGTTAATCAGCTGACCTTATAACAGGGAGATTATTGGGATTATCTAATAACCCACTTACCACAGGGTAGGCCCAGTGTAATCCCCAGACCCTATAAAAGTGGAAGAGGACGAACAGGAGAGACAGAAGGTGCTGTGACTATAGGAGAAAGGCACACAATGATGCAACGTTGCTGGCTTCAAAGACGGAGGAAGTGGCCATGAGCCAAGGATCGTGGACACTCTCCGGAAGCTGGTGGCTCTCACCTTGCGCTGCCAGAAGGAACAGCGTTCTGCCAACGCCGTAAGGCTGGTCACGTGGAGCTAATTTCAGACTTTTGACCTCCAGTACCGTAAGGTAATAAATTTGTGTTGCTTTAAGCCACTGAGTTTGTGATAACTTATTACAACAGCAATAGGAAACTACTACAGTACAAAATCCTTCAGGAGAGGTAAAATAGCTCTGGCTTCCTCTATACGGACATTCACTGAACAAATATTGAAAGCTTTCCATGGGCAAAGCCATGGCGTTTGGAACAGGGGAGTCACACATGGAAATGAACTTTGTGCCCGGTGCCCATGAAGGTGTGTAAAGGATCACAAAACGTCGGACACCGGAGAAGCAGCTGGGAACCGAGGCATCCAGCATGGGACAAAGGATAAGGGATTTTCACTCCTCTTTCGCCCAGAATACTGCCGGTCCTGCCCTCCTCTGCCATCTACAAACGGCCATCTTTTGTGGCCCAGATTTGGGTAAGGGTCTTTTTCATCACTTGTCTCCCATCTCGGAAATGGGAAATACTCCTATTCTCACCTGCATCATGGGTTCGGTTTCAGGCTCTCGCCTTCAGTTACAAAAATGTGCGGAGCATTAGCGAATCTCAGCCAAAGCTCTAAACTACGACCGGCCACAAGAGTGTGCACGTGAGGTGACTGCAATTTTTTTCTGCCAAACCAGAATTAGCCGGTACAGGAATGAACGAGCATGGAGATTTGAAATTGCACTGATTGGGAGGGAGCTCAGGTTAGGTTCGGACCACCTCCACACCGGCCCTCTTTAAAGACAAGCGGGCTGAGGCCTGGAGCTCAAAGCTCCACCGAACGCTCACCTGGCCCGGCATCAGGCGGCGGAGGAGCCCGGAGCCCCGCGCCGAGGGCACGGAGCAGGGCAGAACGCCGAGCCGCAGGCACCCGCACATCCAGGATGATAGGCGACATTGCAAGAAATCTCTACGGCCAGCCGCTCAGGGGGCTCCGAGGAAAACACCAAGTTCGGGGATCCGGGCGGGGAGCCCAGTGAGGCCGCAGCCCCGCGCGCCTTGGGCGGTGAGTATCCCGAGGCCGCACGGAGCAGCGGGCCCGGGAGATGGAGCGGCTCTGGAGGCGCCTTGGAGTTGGGGGCTGTGGGTGGCCGCTGTATCCTGGGGACCCTCGAGAAGGGGTGGTGCAAGCCCAGGACAGGGTCGGGGAAAGCTGCTCCGCGGTCAAGGGCAGGGCTGCTCCGAGGCACGGTGGTCGCGCCCAGGCCGCCCGTCGAGTGGCTCCCCAGCTGCGGCGAGGCCACCTCGGAGCAGGCGGGGGAAGCGCTGTCCAGGACGGAGCAAGAGGATGCGCGCCTCGCTCCCCCGGTGGCCAGGGCCCGGCGCGCGTCCTCCAGGGGCGCGGCGCCCCTTGGAACCCCCGCCAGGCCCGAGGGCTGCGCTCCTCCCGGCGCCAGCCCGCGCTCCCCGCCTTCTCTCACAGCCCCAGTTTAGGACTCGAACCGGCCAGCCATGGATCGGAAAGGGGATGAGGCTAGGAGATGTTCGGGGGTGCCGGGCGCCTCCCTGCACGGGCTGCCGGGATTGCGATCCGCCCCGCTTCCACGCGGAGCTAGCGGGTTCCAAGCGCACCGGGGAACGCCAGGTGCCAGGGGATAGGGGATCTCGCGGCACCCCGGAGCTGGGGAAACGGAGTGGACGAGAGGGCGGCCGGGGGCGGCGGGTGGGGCTCGGAGGGGGTGGCCGAGGCCGGATCCCGCGCAGAGCGCGCAGATGCTGAGCTCCCCCTCCCCCACCCCCACACCCCCCCCACGCCCGCCCCACAACCCGCTCCCATAGCGGTTTGCATCAAGGTTCCCAGGGAGGATAGGAGAGACAAAAATGGGGCGAGGGACCTGGGACGGCCATTTCGGGGCCAAACGCCACCCCGACCATTAACGCTGTTTTAGGAGGTCAACTCTGCTTACCAGTTAAGCTGTTTTCTTTCCGCGGAAAAGTTGATTCAGGCTCTTTAGCAAGGATGAGTGAGGGTTATTAGTGGGGATTAGCAAGATTCCTTTTCCCCTTCTCTGGCTTCTTTGTGGTTTAGCGGGGGGGGCGGGGGGGCGCGGAAGGGGGAGGCAAGATAGGGAGGCGCTTGTAAAATAAGCTTTGGAATCCCTCGGGCCTAGGTTCCAATTTGGGCTCCACTCCCTGCTAGCTTAGTTTGACCTCTCTAAACTTCATTGCCCCTATTTGACCAATAGCCTCAGTTTCCTTTTCTGTGAAATAGGACATTAGTACCAACTGAACAGGATGGTTGTGGAGAAGCCACCCAGCGCAGTCCCTGACCCATAGAAGGCACTTATACCCTCAGCTGGGGTTCCGGGTTTCTCCTGCGCTGTCTTCTCTACACAAGCTCGGCTCCAGCCTTGGCTGCTTCAACTTCTTCCAGTGCCTTTGGCCTCAAGTGTGCACTCAAAAAACCTAGCAGTTCCTGGGCAACCAGGTCCAGGCCCAGAGCTCCTGCAGAGCCAGAGTCAAGGTGTACCCGCCACACACTTGCATCTTATACAGAACCTCCTACCAACGTGCGTGCGGCGTCCACCTTTGGAGAAGATAGTCATTTTAGTTCTAACTTGGCACTTTCCTCTTTGCTTCTCATTTATAATGAGCTCGCCGCACGCCCACATAATCACAACAGCCAAATTAAAAATGAACAACTCGTTTATGAAACTTACTCCGGTAACAGAGCTGTGGAGATTTAGTTCCGTTTTAATTTCGCACACACCCCAGGAGACGCTGACCTCCATTTCATAACCTGCATGGGTTACTTCATTTCCCCCATTTATGATGTCTTTTTCACTGTTCATGAACTCGCAGTTGGGGAGAATGGACCCATAATCTTTCCATTTCCTTCCTTTGCCTTCTTCAGCTCGAGACCCTAATGTTATAAGCTAAGCCTAGAATGGGTAACATTTTACAGATTGATCCTTAGCGGAAGTCCCATATTCACTGCCTCAATTTACCCCAATGTGCCATATGCATGTTGTCCTTTTACAAGGGTGTCAGGACGTGGCAAGGGATGGGGGAAGTTCGAAGGCTTTATGGTGGAGAAAGACTGGGAGCCTGGGGCCCAGTGGTCGAGAGCCCTCTCCCAGTGCTCCCTCTCCAGGTGCACAGGAGGATCATGCTACACAAATTATTCTTTTCTATCTCATAATTAGGGAAAAGATGCTATAAGCAAACTTGGGATGGAGCAGATAGACATGTATTCTTCTGTTGACTTGTTTTTTTTGGTGAACCTGGTTGGACGATATGTTGACTGTGATTCATCAAAACAAGAATTACTTTTAGAGAGATCTAGGTGTGAAACGCAGATGGCTCTGGGCAATCTTCAGGGACCCCCTGAGGACCTGAGAGAGAGAAGTTCGTTTACCTACGCCCGCCCCCAACAGTGCTCTCCATCTGACACTACTTCACATGCACGGCTGAGCCTCTTGAAAAAAAATGGTCCATTAAATGCTAGTCAACATCCTTTATTTATGACCAAATAAACTGGAAAACTCAAGAGCAGTTCGATGGCAACTACATCTCATCACCCATAAAACAAATAATTCAGTAAGACTGGAAAGTTCTTAATGTTGCCTGGAAGAATACTATTTCAACTCACGGGCTGAAACACTATAACTTTTGTATTATTATTTCAAAGTCTTTCTTAGATGTAGATGGACTTTAGGAAAATGCTAAGTTGTGCTGTTTTATCTTCTGAAACAGAGCGGAGCATTATCCCACTAATTGTAGATGGTATTATTACTTTTGTAGGCCAGGCACACCCATTGTCAAGCTGCTCCTTCTCGCTTCTTGGGATTCTGCTTACAGCTAGCAGGGACTGAGGGAGGACCACCATCAAACACCCTCTGAACCCTTCCTAGGTTCATTCTCCTGGAGCTTCTGACAACCCACCAATTTTCTGGGCTGTGAGCTTTAGGGAAGGGGTTGCCCCATCCCTTTCCATCCCTGGGGAGTCTATTCTCTCCTTGGGTAAGAAGTGGGTGGTGGCAGGCGCGTGCGCGAGCGCACACACACACACACACCCCCCAGCCCAACTGGACTAGATGTCCCAAGGAAAGTGGCTCTTGGATTAATTGTCTTTCTTCTTCTTCGTCCCTCTTTAACAATTTAGCCACTAATCTATAGGAGACAAGAAGCTGACCCAGATTGTGTTTAGCAGATAAAGGGGCCTTTATTTACTTATAAAGTTAATGTATGTTTATTTAGATTTTTTTACCAATGAGCTCAGTAAAAAGGAGCAAAAACTACTTGTAGGATCGTCATCTAAATAATGTCCATAAACATTTTTCTTTGTTTCACTGCAGTCTTCCTGCCGATGGATATATATTTTAATGACAACAAAGGGATCGTGACACCGGGCCCATTTTGTCACCCCCATGTGTAATTCACACTTTCCATGTCTCCAGAGTTCAGTGCGATTTGATTTTTGAGGGTGGACTTGGTTGCACAGCTATTCCATGACTGATGTATTTAACACCTCCTCTACCTAATGTTGGATATTCGACATGTTTGCAGGGGAGTTTTTCTTACTATTTCAAGGTTCACTATTATAATTTAGTTTATTTTAAAGAATGAGCAGAAGAGGACCAGGAGGTTAGGAGGAGGGAAGTGTCTTCCCAAAAAAGGGAAGGAGAGAAGGTCACAGTTAAAAGCTTAAAAGAGGCTGTGCCAAGTGTAGGGAGCTGCAGGTGTTCACAGAGCTGGACAGCAGCAGGCAAAGGTCGGGAGACAGGAGGCGGGACCAGGCAGAGGGGCAGACGTGCAGGAGGAGAACCAGCCAGAGGCAGCGTCGAAGCTGCCCTGGGCAGTCTCGCTGCCGGGCGGGCAGGGTTGGGGGCAGATCTTAAAGATAACTTGACCTCGCTGGCCAGATGACAGGGCAGGATAGCATTTTCTCACTCCCGGCAGCCTAGAGAATGGAGAAGGGGGAGGGGGCCCTGGCAGAGAGCAGCGCTGTGGGCAAGAAGCGTAGCTGTTGAGAACCAGACACCTATTTAGGAGACAGAATCATTTAAAAGACAAAAATAATGAGAACGAGGTACGAGACACAGGAAACATCAAGATGAGTCCCAAGGAAAGCCCATTAGATTGCTCTTCCCCAGACATCCCTGGTTCCCTGGCGCCCGTGCCCCGCCCCCACCCCAGCAAACTCCTAACCAGAACCAGTGCAATAGTCCGCGGATCAGCAAACTTTCCCTGTAAAGGGTCAGAGAGTGTTTTAGGTTTTGCAGGCCACGTAATTTTTTAAAAGGTAAAAGCAATTCTTAGCACAGGGGCATAGAGAAAGAGGCTGTAGGCACCGTGCAGTTCACCAAAGTCGACTTCTCTGTCCTCGTCACATCAGAACACGGCTGGGACACGTCCCACAACTGGAGGTGTTACCAGTGTATTTGGGAGCGTTTTTTATACCACCTTTCTCCATTGCCACAAAATGACTTTTCAGTAATAATCATATATAATGGCCAGTAATAATCATGGTTTTATCCTTCTGTTTTAAATTACATATAGGATGACTTTAACAAGTTTCATGAAAGCACTTGGTCCTGAGAAAAAGTGAGCAGTGTTCCCAAATCTGCACAATGACAAGGACTCATCTGAGGTTCTAATACAATGATGGGACCACTTTGATTAGGATGAGGTAGAGATGTCCGGAGAAGATGAACATTTTTTTTGTTTGTTTTGATATTGAATGAAATGATTTGTCATATGTATTTCAGAAAATCTTGGAAAATGTATACAAGTCATGAAGACATTGGGTATGATTTTGAAGATGACCCCAAAGACAAAAAGACACTTAAACCCCACGCAAATATCGATGGAGGATGGGCTTGGATGATGGTCCTTTCCTCTTTCTTTGTGCACATCCTCATCATGGGCTCCCAGATGGCCCTGGGGGTCCTCAACGTGGAGTGGCTGGAAGAATTCCACCAGAGCCGCGGCCTGACCGCGTGGGTCAGCTCCCTCAGCATGGGCATCACCTTGATCGTGGGTACGTTCACCTGTGGCCTGTTGTAAAACTGAATGATTGTAAAATGACAGTTCCCCACTGTAAGTAATGTTTTATATTGTTGAAACATTAATATTAGTGATGTTACTATTTTTTTATTATGGTAAAATATGTATAACATGAAGTTTACCATTTTAACCATTTTCAAGTAGACCGTTCAATGCTATTGAGTTCATTCATCGCCCCGTCCATCTCCAGAACTTTTTCCCCAAACTGAAGCTCTGTGCCCATTAGCAGGAACTCCCTGCTCCTCTTCCCCCGGCCCCCAGCCACCACCATTCTATTTTCTGTCTCTATGAATTTGATTAAGTACCTCATATAAGTGGAATCATATAATATTTGTCTTTCGGTGTGATATTGCTATTTGAGTATTTTGAACATTTGGAGTATTTTTTTAAAAGATTTTACTTATTTCTTTTTAGAGAGAGGGGAAGGGAGGGAGAAGAGAGGGAGAGAAACATCAATTTGTGGTTGCCTCTCATGCATCCCATACTGGGGACCTGGCCTACAACCCAGGCATGTGCCCTGACTGGGACTTGAACCGACAACCCTTTGGTTTGCAGGCTGGTGCTCAATCCACTGAGTCACACCATCCAGGGCTAGAGTATTTTTTAAATTGATCACTTTTAAAATTTTCTTTTGCCCCAAACTCTGTTTCTTAAATGTTATAACACAATTTATATATCATTACAAATATCTATTTAACACTTATGAATATTTCTAAAAGATAAAAATTTTAAAGAACACTCTAAAAGTCAACTAACAATCTTATATAAGAGTTCTAATGTTTTTAATTTGAAATATTGAGCATATGTTATTGGAAAACCTATTGAACTGTTTTTAGAAAGGTTACTATATATATAGCTAACAGAAAAGAATACTACTACATTCTTGCATTTTCTAGTTAAGCCTACCCACACAGAAATCTATGAAACCAATTCTCATCCAGTCGGAGATACTAAACCAGAAAGTTATTAGAAATGTAATATGTTATTATGGCTAAAGTGTTTCATTTTGGGAACTAAACAGCTTTTACTCTCAATAACTAGTGATATACCAGGTTCTTTCCTTTACACTATCTCATTTAATTTTATTTAATTCCCTTAACAATCTACCATTATACCCCAATGTTGCTTCACATGAAAATAATGGTCATAGTTTTATGTCAGGTTTTGTTTTTTTTTTTAATTTAAAGTATTTGAGATATATTTCATACCAGAAACATAAGGAACCTCAGATCTTTTTCTGGTTTTGTGAAGAGTATGTGTATGACAAGCATATGTGTGTTTAATGGGAGTCTGTGACTTCTCCGTGATTTCTACATTAGCAAGTAGTTGCTTGAGTCCAACTCAGAGATTTGTTGACCTTGGCTGGCCTTCAATCGATGCTATTTTGGATAATATACATGATGGTGCTTAATGACAGAAAACAAGGATAAAGTATTATTTCCCAAGATGTGGGTGGGGTGTGTGTGTTTATCAAAGGGAATTAATACTGATGTAGTTTAAAATTAAATAAGGGCATCATTATGTGTGAGAAAGAAATGCTGAGAAATCATTTTTGCTTACAACATTGATGAACTGACTCCTTCAACCCTGCATCGGCCTTGTTAAAACTAGAACAATTTGTCATGTGAAAATGGAAGTAGGTTTACTATGGGGTAGGAAACGTAACTGGTTTTGTGTTGGATATAATTCTACCTTCTCAATAAGTCAGTAAAAGAAAACTCTTCTAGAATACTTAAAATCTCATTTTTATTGTTGTGAGGTTTTTTTTACCTTTTTAAAAAATGAAATGTTAAGGGGTAGAACACAGTAGCTACAGATTCCATCTAGAAACCGTGTGTTTGCAACAACAAAGAAGATGACTCAGCAAAAAGCCAGCATATAAAATGTCTCAACATTTTCCAAACCATCTGATAAGGCTGTCTTAAGCAATGGAAACTAGTCTTGCAATGGCTGGATATAGTTTTGAAGATGATCCCCAAAATAAGAACACCTAACTCACAATGACACTGAAACGTGATTGTCATCTTCAATTTAATTGGGAGGTAACTGTGTATTTGGAATTCTGTTTGAGAGCCCAGAGTCCCTGAATTCCAGACAGTGGAATTTCAGATTGTAAACCAGCCTTTCTACAGGAGAGGTGCCTGAAAACATCCTTCACTCTGGCGCTCAGAAATCGTTAACACAACAAGGCTCATAGTTCTATAGGCAAGGTCTGTTACTCTATCATGACCGCAAATAGCTGCTCATTGTCTGGAGCTGCTTGGTACAGGGAGACTACAGACGTGTTCGGTGCTTTTCCAAGCCTGAAGCCATTAAGAACAGCCCCTTTATTTAGCACTTACCACATACAAAGCACATATTAGGAACATGATCTCACATGATTCCACGGCAATACTGGAGGCAGGCCATCATCATCTGCGTCTGACAGGAATAACATGCGACACTCAGGGACGTTCAGTAACTTACCAGGAAGCGTGGGACAGGCTTTAAACCTGGTCCACTGGACTCCAAAATGGGGTCCACTCTACTGCACTCCCTGCCACTCATTAAATGAGAGCTGAAAGTATGTTTGAAGTGAATAAATATAAATTGGTTTTATTATCATACATTGTACGAACCATTGGGTGACCTCTTTAAGTTTTAAAAAATCTGTGAATTATGTTACAGACTTGAAAGCCATTTCTCTCTTGGGCAGTGAGTTGCACATGGGAAATTCAGTAATTTCATTCTTGTTCTTCATTCTTTGCTAGCATGGATTTTGCCAGTTTCCGGCCGACATTTCCAATTTTTAACAACACCTTGGTTGCATCTACCGCAACCTTTGTGATGGCTTTCGGAATAATTCTTGGTGGAAGCCAAGTTGTTGGGAGAAATGCAAGTGTATGAGCTGCAACAGGCCACTGACTTGCTAAGAAGATTTAGAGCAGTGGGTGTCAGTCCTGGCTGCACATCAGAGGCCTCTGGGTGCTTTTAATAACCATGGCACTAGGGTTGGGCCTGGGCCCTTACGTTAGACTCTCATGGGATGAAACCCAAGCACCAGGATTTGAGGGAAAGGAGGGATTTTTTTAAAGCTCCTAAGCAACACCAACATTGAGCCAAGGCAGAGAGCCACTGATGTTGAGGTTCCTAGCGCCTTCTGCCATGAGGGGTGTTACCCCAGGAGACCAGGGGTTCGATGAACTACCTAATCTTGTCCATGACCACATGCCAAAGCTCAGCTCAGCTCAGCTTGTTTCTCTCCTCACCTGGGCTGTTTCCAGCCTGAGATGCAGGATGGGCAGGAAGTCAAGGCTTCCTCCGGGTGTTCCCTGCAACAACCTAACACTTCATTATGTGGGGAATGGGCTGCAACTCAGGTTTTCTCTGAGGAAGAGTCTGAAAATGAATATAATCTCATGCCAAAACATTGAATTCCTCTACAAAAGTGCAAATCATGGCCAAAGGGCTGTATCCATTTTCATCTTCCCCCTCTCCTGAGACTGCCTGGGGAGTTCTTTTCATTTTGTTGAAATAGCACTTCAAGCTTGGAGATGCTGCTGACCATCAGGAAACAATGGTTAGAAAACAAAGCAGTCAGAAAGCTTGGGTCTGACTTCCTTTTTCTGCCGTATCTATAGTTTGTCACTGTGGAGAAGTCACTCACGGGGTTTCTGGGTCTGAATTTGCCCATCTGCAAATCATAAATGACTGAGCCCGGCATGAATGGGATGGGAGCTGATGAACCAGAAATGCCAGACGTCGTTATCAACTAAATCAGTAGAGCAATTCATCCTTTCGTTTTGATATGTAGTATTCTTGCAGACACAAATATCCGCACTTGGGCATTTCCCCCTTCTCTCTTCAAATGCTTTCTTAATGTGAGTTTCATGAGCATATAGAAATGCTTGCTTCTGGGCCTTTCCGTAATGTGGAAAATATGTTCATGCTACTGCACTGTGATCTGTTGACCTTTTGTATCCTAAAAGGCCTATTAACAGTAAAGCCATGAGTCATGCATTTTTCATTTTCTTATCCATTCATTCCAGATTCGAGTAGTGAAATCACAACGGACTTAGAAAAACAAAAATATTTGTAAGAAAAAACCAAAGAAATACCTTTAACTTAGGATTTCTGAATTTGAATTGTTCCCAATTATTCCCGCAGATGTTTCTAAATGTGTTTATTATACTTGTGTAATGTACTTATTTTATAATACCTTTAAGAGTATATTTATCTAGAATATATTTACTATATTAAATCTATTCTAAGAGGTTTATCTACTGAATTGTTATCTGTAATGACACACAATTAAATAAATGAATTAGTCTTTACCTTCATAGTTTTTAGGATTAGACCAAAAAGATCAAACAAACAAACAAAAGACTCTTAGCTGACTGTGTACCCAAATATGCACATGAATATAGTTAGAACTTTTACAGGACACTTTTTAATTTGGGCTCAAAGGGGAAGTTTCTTAGAGTTCGACAAATTTTTCACTTGAAATATTTCCACCTGAATATAGGGTTTCATAACTGTGTTAAGTAAGAGTGATCAAAAATAAGATGATGTTTAAAATGCATCATCTTACCGAATATTGAGTACAGCCTCATAGTGTATTGCTAAAATCTGGATTGCTATGTGGACAAGGGGTCCCTGATCTCGAGGCAAGCATTAGGCTTCAATGGCATCAGAAATTACCACAAAATCAGGAAGAAAACAAAGAGGGCTGACACAAACTAGAGCATCATGATAACATAAGCAATCAGAACGTATACCATGTAATGTACTGCTGTGAGTACTGGGACATCTTGCATAACCAAGTGTATTCCCGAATCCCCACATGGTGTCGTAAGTTCAGAAGTCTGATGGGTGCAGTCCAGTGAGTCCTTTTCAGCTTGGTTTGCATCTGGGTGTCCTCATAAAAACATGCTATAGGTTCCTTGCCTGAAGCTTGGGAGTCCTGAGAACGCCCTTCCTGTACTCCCTTGAGGCCTGGAGTCAAAAACTGAAATGTGTACAGAGGCCAAACAAGTACCGTAAATGAGCACAAGAGGCCAGGTATAAGACTAAAGGGATGGGTGGAAACTGCGGCAAACCACAGAGGAGTGACGCAGCTAAAGGAATAAGCCACTGCCCAGCTCCAGCTCATTTGGGCTGTGAGGGAAGATATTTCCTGTTGCCACTGAACCTTTCTATGAATTCTCTTACTTTTTATTTTTAGTTATTGATTTTTTTAGAGCGGGAGGAAAAGAAAGAGAAACATTGATTTGTTGTTCTGCTCACCCATGTATTCATTGGCTGATTCTCGTATGTGCCCTGATTGGGGATTGAACCCACAGCCTTGGTGTTACCGGGATGACCCTCTAACCAACTGAGCTACCCAGCCAGGACATAAATTCTCTTAATTTTTGAATGTAATAAATGATCCAGAACATTTTTAAAACATTGGGATAAACAGAACACATTGACAGGCTGAATGGAGCCCCCAGGCCGCTATTTTAGGACTTCGGTTTTAGACAAGAGAATAAACCAATTTGTCCATTTATTTTAAGTCTACTTTCCTTGAAAACCTAGAATTTGTGCTCCTCGGTGAACTTATTAAAATCTGCCTTTACACGCTAACAGCTTTTTGCACATAGAGCAATGGGGTTTCGACCCTTGGAAGCCTCCAAGGCACATTACCTCACCCTCGCTCAGTGTTTTACATGCCTGGGTCCCCCTTTCTGTCTCCGAACCTCTTACGCGGTGGGATCTCTGACCCTCTCACGTATGCAAGATTCTCATACACATGTATGTATTAAATGTGGTTATTTTCTCTTGCTGAAAGAAAAAAAAAGAAATAAAGCAGTGGGGTTATTTTGGTGTGTTGTATTTAGCAGCTCTAGTAATGTTTTCCTCTTTGTCTTCATACGAGGACGTACTAAGCAAGCAGGAAAACAAAACGCTTTTCATCAATCCCTCTGTTTGTGTTCCGTGGCAGGACCTTTCATCGGCTTGTTCATCAACACCTGCGGCTGCCGCCGGACCACGATCATCGGGGGGCTCGTGAACTCGCTCGGCTGGGTGTTGAGTGCCTACGCCGCGAACGTTCACTACCTCTTTATTACCTTCGGAGTGACAGCTGGTAGGCATATCAACTTTATTTTAACTTTGACTTTAAATGTTTCAACTGGGCATTTTGACAATGCATTTTATTGTGCAGAAAAGAGACCCCTTAAAATATTTTGTCCTTCTGTCTTCTCCACCCCACCCCCATTTTATCCTCCAGGAAATACTTTTTAATATATTCTATATGCCTTACATGTGGCAGCGCAACCTAACAACTGTACTTGCCCTCACTAATAGAATTTGATTAAATTTTCCATACCTAGTTCTAAGTGCTATCCTTTCTCTTACAAGGAACAGGAAAAAGACAGTAAAAATACAGATGTAGCTGAACTAGTAAGGAAATTAATAATCGTCTCTCATTTAATAATTGCAGAATCGAGCATGAATCACGGAATAATCATTTTCTCCTTCAGCCCTGTTCAAATTAATGAACAAGCAGCAAAACCCACCCACACGTAGAGACTCTAAGAAGCAAATCTAGGGCCCAGTTAGAGTGGCTGTCTCCGTGAAGAGGTAAAAATTGGCTGTCAGGCAGCGCGGTTGGCATATCCGTTCTGACCAGTATCTTCCCAGCCATCATTTCCTTTATCAGCAGGTAGCAGACTTCACACAGATAAGTAGTTTCTTACTTGTGCAGTTGTACTTGCATGGACCAGATCCAACCTGACTTTCTTTTCGAGTACAGACTTTTTAAAAAACTTTTCCTATAACAGCCCAATGAGTAGGGCTGGCATAGGATTTCTGTATGATAATGAGGAGATAAACACTCCTTCCTCTGAGACTAAGGAGACACATTGGGGTCTCTGGGTAGACACATGAGCCCCCCTGTGAAGTTGATCCAGTGGTATTTGGTTACATGCACTATGACTTGATCCCAACAACCAGGACTTGAGACTGATTCTCATTATTTAGAGATCTCTGTGGTTAGACTATTTGTTTAAATGAAATTGTATTTCTTGCAGTTAATTGCTTATTGATCCTCAACTCTCTCCATATTTATTTATGTATGTATGTATTCATTCACTTATGTATTCAATGAATGTTTATGTATCCAAGGAAGCAGAAAGAAAATTAGGAGGCTGCTAAAAGGAAAGTATTTCTTGAGACACTTTATTGCTCCCACCTTTTATACAGGGAAACCTTACAGAAAGGCTCTGAAAATAAACTCACCCACTTCCCCTACAAATATAGTTAAGTGGAGAATTTAGCTGCATCCGTTAGATTATATACGCAAGCTGCCCCTGCGCTGTTATTAGTGGGGCTTGCTGAGTGGCAGTCTTGCTCCCTTTTAATAGAAAAGCAAAAAATGAGATGCAAAAATCTACTGCAAAAGGCAAGCGATTGGTATATATTTGTATGACTGTACAATTTATGTTTGAAATAAACTTTGTTGACACTCTTCTTCATTCCTAAAAGCATTTCAGGCAGATGTGTTTGTATCTTTTATCTTTTAAAACCTAGGCAATTAAAATTTCATGGGAGTACTCTCTTATTAAGCAGAAAATTCATGTCCATTTGAGCAATTTTACTTAGCCAAGGGAGTCTGGACAAGTTTCTTCAGCATTGCCAGAACTCCATTGCCTTAAGCCTGCTTCTAAAGGCACCTTCTCCGCCACTACGCACACCCGGGACCACAGGATTTTGCCCTCTGAGCCTCCTTCCTCCGCCTGCCTGTCAGGCCGTAAGCCCCTCCTCTAATCGTGAATGTGGTGGAGAAGGGTTCCAGGGTCCTACATGGAGAGGGGCATTAGCAGGGCTTGACTGACCCATAGGCTTCAGCAGGAATATCCATCCCAAGTCCTGTCCCATACGCTCATGTAATAATTGGGCCTATTAAGGAAGAAGCTTAAAATACAAATCAACAATTAGCAATGTGTAAACCTTACTTGAATCCTGATTCAAACAAGTTTTTTTTTTTTTTTAAATAGAGGTATTTATGACACAAATGGAAATTTGAACACCTTCTGGATATTTCTCTTTTTTTAAGTTTTTTTTTTTATTTATTTCTAGAGAAAGGGGACAGGAGGGAGAATGAGAGAGAGAGAAATATCAATGTGTGGTTGCCTGTCGCTCACCCCCAGCTGGGGACCTGGCCCACAACTCAGGCCTATGCCCTGACTGGGAATTGAACCGGCCACCTTTCGGTTGTCAGGCTGGCATTCAATCCACTGAGCCACACCAGCCAGGGCATGGGTATTTAATGATATGAAGGAATTTTTCATGTTTTCAGATGATAGGATTATGTTGTTTAATCGTCATCAATATTTAGAGATTCATCCTAAATGTGTTTGCACATGAAATGATATATTCAGGATTTGCTTCAAAATATTATGGAGGAGAACAATAATACTGTGCCACAATATTTAATATCAAAGAATTTCTTGGTTCTTTAACAAATAATTGTTTTCCAAAATAACCACAAATACACTTATTTTGCAGCTGAGTTTTCTGTACCTTAACCATGGAAGTATAAAATTAATCTTGTATGAAAGAAGTAGCTATTGTTTTAAAATGTGGCCATTTATCTTCCCATAGGACTTCATTTATTTCATTCCTTTGTTATGTGCTAGGCATTGTTCTAGGCACTAGGGAGAGGGTTCCAGGCCCATCAGTGAACCAAACACATCCCTGCCCTTATGGAGCCTGTAGTCTAGCAAAAGGGGAGAAGAGGCCAGGTCATAAACAATACACACAATAAATAAGGAAAATCCTTGTGCGGCCAGCGGCTGGCAGCAGGGGGGGCGAGCACGCAGGGTGCGAGGCAGCGTGGGCAAGAGAAAGGGACCAGGCTCCCATGTTGGTCCTGAGTTCCAACCTGGATTCTCCTATTTCCAGCTGCAGGATCTTGGGAAAGTAACTTAATCTCCATGAGGTTCAGCACCCCCTTTTATAACCACCGCTAGCTTTCAGGGTGATTGTGAAAGCCAAATCAGATAAAGCCTGTGAAGCAACCGATATATCATCAACGCTCAATTAGTAGTAATTATTACTATATTTGCCTGTATGATTGCTCTGGTCTCCTGCCAAATTCAAGTAATTCTCAAACTATTAAATGATGCTGACCTAGGGAGACTTTGACTTTGGAGAATGACATTAGTGAGAGTCTCTTTTATACTATATGCTGCCGATCTAATGTCAGGAGGGCTAAACAGGGCCCCAGGATCGTTGAAATGGGGCTCATGGTTTCCCTCTGTACCTTGAACTTGAGAACATAACCCACAACCTCTTGGCTAATATTTTATTTTATTTATTTCATTTCATTTATTTTTTTAAATTATATTGTATTGATTACGCTATTAAATCAATTTTCCCCCTTTGCCCCCCTCCACCCAGCACCCCCCACTCCCTCAGGCACTCCCCCCCACCGTCGTTCACGTCCATGGGCCATGCGTATAAGTTCTTCGGCTGCTCCATTTCCTACGCTGTACTTTACATCCCCATGGCTGTTCTGTAACTACTTCTTTGTACTTCGTAATCCCCTCGCCTACTCACACATTCCCCCACACCCTTCTCCCATATGGCAGCCATCAAAATGCTCTCCGTATCCATGATTCTGTCTCTGTTCTTGTTTGCTTAGTTTGGTTTTTAGATTCTGTTGTTGATAGGTATGTATTTTTGCCATGTTATTGTTCATAGTTTTGATCTTCTTTTTCTTAAATAAGTCCCTTTAACATTTCACATAATAATGGTTTGGTGATGATGGACTCCTTTAGTTTTTTCTTGTCTGGGGAGCTCTTCATCTGCCCTTCAATTCTAAATGAGAGCTTTGCTGGGTCGAGCAGTCTTGGCTGTAGGTCATTGCTTTTCATGACTGAATATTTCTTGCCAATCCCTTCTAGCCTGCAAAGTTTCTTTTGAGAAATCAGCTGACACTCTTAAGGGAACTCCCCTGTAGGTAATTAACTTCTTGTCTCTTGCTGCTTTTAAGATTCTCTCTTTATTTTTAACCTTTGGCATTTTAATTACGATGTATCTTGGAGTAGGCCTCTTTGTATCCATCTTGTTTGAGACTCTCTGTGCTTCCTGGACTAGCATGTCTTTTTCCTCCACCAAATTAGGGAAGTTTTCTTTCATTATTTTTTCAAACAGATTTCCAGTATCTTGCTCTTTCTTACTTCCTTCTAGCACTTCTATAATGCGAGCGTTGGACCTCTTGAAGTTGCTGCAGAGGCTGCTTATACTATCCTTTTTTCTTCTTCTTGTTCTGATTGGTGTTTTTTTGCTTCTTATGTTCCAGATCATTGATTTGATTCTTGGCTTAATCCACTCTACTGTTGTTTCCCTGTAAATTGTTCTTTATTTCAATTAGTGTATACTTCATTTCTGACTCGGTCTTTTTTATGCTGCTGAGGTCCTCACTAAACTCTTTGAGCAACCTTATAAACAGTGTTTTGAGCTCTGCATCTGATAGATTGCTTATCTCCATTTCATTTAGCTCTTTTTCTGGCGTTTTGATCTGTAATTTCATTTGGGCCATGTTTCTTTGTCTCCTTAATTTGGAAGCCTCCCTGTGTTTATTTCTTTGCATTAGATAGAGCTGCTATGACTCCCTGTCTTGGTAGAGTGGCCTAATGTAGTAAGTGTTCCTTAGGGCCCAGTGGCACAGCCTCCCCTATCACCTGAGCTGGGTACTTGAGGCACACCCTTCATGTGGGCTGAGTATACCCTTCTCTTGTAGTTGAGCCCTGGTTGCTGTTGGCAGGTCAATAGGAGGGATTTACCCAGGCCAGTCAGCTGTAAAGATTGGCTGTGATCACTAACCACCAACCTCCACCCTCTGTGGAGGATCAGCTGTGCAGGGGCAGGGTGGTGGTGCTCTGAAGTGGTCTGTAGCTGTTCACAGTGCAGCTGGGTGCACTGGCTCTGGGGTTTCGCAGGTGATACAGGCCAAGATCAGCCCACCCCCACCCCCCACCATGTCTTGCCTGGGGCCTCGCATCCTGAGCTATAAAGCAATCTCAGATGGCTGCTACTTGTGCAGAGCTTGGAGATTCCCAGGTGAAGCCAAGCTGTGAATCTAGGCTGGCTGCCCTAGGTCCTGGGCTCACTGAGGCCAGCTGTTGCTTGTTTGAGAGGATTTAGGAAGTTGTGCAGCATGAGCCAAGACCAGCTATTCATATGGAAAAGCAGTTTGCGTGGGCCTTTTAAGTTGGGTGGGGCAGAGTCTCTGGGGATCTCAGTGGCGGGTCAAACAGTGTTAGCCAGGTTGATGGAGTCTCCGATATGGCACCAGCTTGCTGACTCAGTGACTCTGTCAGGGCGCAGGCTCAGAAAAGGGACAATGGCCTCTACTCACCTTGATCCAGATACCCCAGTTTTTCCTAGTAGGCCACTGGTACCTTTCAAGCTGCTATCCCATTGCTTAGCTCAGAGGGAGTGAGTCTGAGTAGGTGAGTCCATGCGAGGGTTCTTTAGCAGGAACTGTCTGGGGCTTCAGAAATTTCTTCCACCAACTAAATCCCTGCTGGTTTTTGCAGCCAGAAGTTGTGGGGACTTATCTTCTTGACACCAGAACCCTGGGCTGGGGGGCCTCGTGTGAGGCTGGGACTCCTCGCTCCCGAGATATCCCTCCCAAATTTTTATCTACCACCCATGAGAGTGGGACCAGCCTGTTCCGCCTCTGCGCCCCTCCTGCCAGTCTGGATGGATGCGTTTTCTTTAGTTCCATAGGTGTCAGACTTCCATTCAACGTGATTTCTGACTGTCGTGAGTAATGGTTTTTCTATATTTTAGTTGTAATTTTGATGTGGTTGTGCAAAGAGGCGAACCGTGTCTGCCCTCACGGCCATCTTGACCAGAAGTCCTCTCATTTATTTTTTAGTAGTCTTCATTTTGTAGAGCAGTTTCAGGTCCACAGCAAAACTGAGGAGAAAGTATGGAGAGTTCCCAAAACCGCTGGCCCCAACACAAACACCCCCCACCAGCATTTTAATTTTGCCAGTGCAAATCACAAATGGCTCCTGTTTTCGAGGAAAGATCCAGTTCAAAATCAGAGATACAAATAAGTGTTAGGTGGCTTTGACAGGGAATACATGTATCTAGGGGCACATTATAATTCCTTGTTTTCTTCCTATTAATTTGTGAACAAATTGGCCCTTCCTGAGGCTTCTGCAAATTGCCTGGAGGCGACCTTCCCCCCTTGTACCTCAATGCTCTCCTGGCACTTGAGGCACTTGGCCCTGCCCCCAGAGCCCTCATACGTCAGTCATTCTTTCAGCAAATCACTAAGCACACACAGCGTGTTCTGGGCAGTAACAGGTGCGTGGGCGGGGGTGATGGTGGAGACACAGCCCTGTCCCGAAGCTCACATTCTAGTATGAGAACGGAACTCATTCCATTATTGGAGTAACTCCTACTGCAAAGCCTGCTGGGGGAACAGACGGGCTAGAGACTTCGGGGCAGGACGCTGTTGGTGCTTGCCCACCAAGCTGCTTTTTTACAATCATTGTTTGGGGTTTTTTGTTGTTTTGGTTTTTCTTTGATCTCCAAAGGCTGCCAAGCCTGGACATGGCCATTCATGCCGTGCTGTGTGCTTTTTCTTTCCCTTTCAACCACGCAGGCTTCGGGAGCGGGATGGCCTACCTGCCGGCCGTGGTCATGGTGGGCAGGTACTTTCAGAAGAGGCGCGCCCTTGCCCAGGGCCTCAGCACCACAGGGACGGGGTTTGGCACCTTCCTCATGACGGTCCTGCTGAAGTACCTGTGCGCAGAATACGGCTGGCGGAACGCAATGTTCATCCAAGGCGCTGTCTCCTTGAACCTGTGTGTTTGCGGGGCGCTCATGAGGCCCCTGTCTCCTGGGAAGGACAGAAAGGACCCAGCGGGGCGAGATCCGCGAGTCCTCCCCGAGCACTCCACGGAATCTATCAAGACAAGGGGACCGCGGGGCAGGGCGGACGAGAAGGAAGGCAGCCCCGGGCACGAGGAGACCCTCGGTGAGCTCACAGGTCAGGTGTGCCAAGAGGAGGCTGGGCACAGGAAGAACATGTGCGCCTTTCGGGTGCTGAAGACGGCGAGCCAGCTGACCCTGAGGGTCAGGAAGGGCTTCCAGGACTGGTACTCCGGCTATTTTGGGGCAGCCTCGCTCTTTACTAACCGAGTGTTTGTAGCCTTTATATTCTGGGCTTTGTTTGCGTACAGCAGCTTTGTCATCCCTTTCATTCACCTCCCAGAAATAGTCAATTTGTATAATTTATCGGAGCAAAACGACGTTTTTCCTCTGACTTCCATTATAGCAATAGTTCACATCTTTGGGAAAGTGGTCCTGGGCATTGTGGCAGACTCGCCCTGCATCAGCGTCTGGAACGTCTTCCTGATGGCCAACTTCACCCTCGTGCTCAGCATTTTCATCCTGCCGCTGATGCACACCTACGCGGGCCTGGCGGTCATCTGCGCGCTGATCGGCTTTTCCAGCGGTTGCTTCTCCCTAATGCCCGTAGTGACTGAAGACCTGGTGGGGATTGAGCACCTCGCCAACGCCTATGGCATCATCATCTGTGCTAATGGCATCTCTGCATTGCTGGGACCACCATTTGCAGGTAACCCGGGCAAAGTTTTAAAGCTTAGAGCACATGGAGGTTGTTAGGTTGGGTTCTCGTCAATGTTATAAGCCTGAAGTTGATATGATGGAAGGTTCCATTTGTGTACACACTCCTTTTTCCCTCCCTTTCCTGCCCCTCCAATTTCTCATTCATAGATTTTAGCAAGTTAAAGGCCATTCTTTCATTAGAATGCACATGAACTTTTTTTAAATTTTTTTATTGTATTATTTTCCATTACCATTTAGTTCCCTTATGCCCCCTGGCCCCGCAATCACCACGCTGTTGTCCATGTCCATGAGCACACGTGAACTTTTGATCCTCATCTACCAGGTGAGCTGCTGGCAGTAAAGAGGACAGGTGACAGGATAGTGCAGGGCACCCTCCAGGACTGAAGGAGGTACCTCTGCCCAGGTCCAGCTTATTTCTGTCACCAAGAAATATGGAGACCTGTTGCCAGATCTTCTATTGTTGGAGGGGGTCCCCCAAGAGAAACTAAGACTCTAGGCTCTTAGATGACACTTCTAGATGTTCAAAAGACTATAAATCTAACAGAATACACCCATGGGCTGGATCTAGCCCTGTAGTAATTTCCTATTGCTGCTGTAGCAGATTGCCTCGAACTTAGTCTCTCAAAATGACACAGATTTAGCTTGGCTGGCGTGGCTCAGTGGATTGAGCACCGACCTGGAAACCAAAGGGTCGCCGGCTCCATTCCCATTCAGGGCATATGCCTAGGTTGCAGGCCAGGTCCCCAGTAGGGGGCACACAAGAGGCAACCACACACTGATGTTTCTCTCCCTCTTTTTCTCCTCCCTTCCCCTCTGTCTAAAAATAAATAAAATCGTTTTTAAAAAGATACAGATTTATGATCTCACAGTTCTCCAGGTCAGAAGGCTAAATTGGATCACAGTGGCTGAAGTCAAGGCGTGGGCAGAACTGGGGCGGAACCCATTTCCTCGCTTTTTACAGTTTCTGGAGGCTGCCTGCTGTTGTGGCTCCTGCCCCCTGCCCCCAACGTCTAAGCCAGCAGCACAGCATCTTCTCATCTCTCTCTGATTCTGACTCTCCTGCCTCCTTCTTTAACTTATAAAGATAACCCCTGATTACACTGTGTCCACCAGGTCACGTCAAAGCCTTTAACGTAATCACAGTGGCAAAGTCCCTTTTGCCACACAAGGTAGCATTCGCAGAGTCTGGGGATTAGGGCTTGGGCATTTGGGGAGAGCTGGAGCATTCTGCCCACCACAGGCCTACCCAGCAGACATCTAGGGTAAGATCTCTCACATGTACCAGCCTCAGTTCAACAGAGAATTCACGTCCTGCAGTGGGCATACTAGAAGTCACAGGTACCCAGGAGTCCAGTGTCAGAAAGTACCTCTCTGAACCCTCCTGGGGGGAGGGTTTAAATTTTGGCAAGGCACATCAGCCTCAGGCAGGTAGACTCGATCCCCAAGAAGCCAGGTACTAGGTAAAGGTGACAAGGTTTATCCTCTGTCTAAGGATCAAAGGCAGGGACTGGGGCCACATGTCAACATCAAGGTGCTGTCTGGAGGTGGCTATCAGGGTGACCAGGCCAGGGCTGGTGGCGATTGTCAGAGCTGCCAGAAGTTTTGAGCAGAGTGTCCTGTTCAGATGCCCTGCCCCCTGCTCACCTGGCCCTTCAGTCTCCGCTGCAGGAGTACCTCCTCCCAGTGGATGGGGGAACCCATGGGTGCCGGACAAAGCCCTCCCTGCCCCTTCCTTCCCAGTCTCTATACCTGTCCTATAGTTATCACCTGTCCAAGGAGCCCACTGGCAAAAGCTTATGTCAGCTCGCCCGTTTTTAAGTCCCCTTCAGAATTTGAAGTTCAGTAAGTCATGGATTTTGCCCGTACAGTGAACAGCACTGGCAGGTGGCTGACTAGGGTCAAGGCCCAAGAATCATGGCAGGAAACCCACTGGCTACATACGGAGTTTCCTAGGTCAGGCTGCTCCTCTCCTCTGCCTGTCCACAGAGATGAGGGCACCGTATTTTTTGATGACAGTGAATAACTATACCAGTGCAGCAAATTATATTGGCTGCTGAATAGTCTGAACTTGCTCACTGATCTCAATGTATAAATTCTCTATCAGTTAGGGGTGCTTTTGGCTGAGAGAACACCCTGCCAATAGTAGCTTAAACAGAGAGTTGTGTCACCTAACAGAAACCTAGAGTTCAGGGATTAGATGATACTGGGACAGTGTCTCCAAGAACCTCTTAGTCTTTCACTCAGGCTAGTGACCTCATGGTCACACAAGAGCTGCTGTATGGTCACCACACATCCTCATTTAAACATGAAGGAGGAAGGGAGGAAAGGCTCAGTCCTAGCAGACTTCCACTTATATCTGATTGACCAGAGCTGTGTCATTAGCTAGTCTAAGCGTCCAGGGGAACTGAGAACTGGAGTATTTTCTTTTCAGCTTCTGTGCAAGAAGAAGGAAAAGAGAAAAAAGAATTGGGGTAGGGTGTTGGATCAGTCAATCAATGGTACCTTCCAGAGATGTTAAACTGAAATATGCTTTAAGGGAGTGGGGGTGTTACTGCGGCTCATCCATCCTTTTGTTGGAGGTCCTTCAGATCTATTATAGGAGGAAACAGAACCTGTCATTGATGGTTCTTTGCATGATCCAGGGGTACTTTCTGCTTCTAATGGTCAGTCTGGGGTTATCTTTATACTGATCCATCAGATTTCGAGAACAGCATCACAACGCAACTGTGCGGTGCAGCAGAAGTAATTCACAGTGAGTGCTAACTAAAGCACCAGAGCTGGCCAGTGTGGTTTCCTTGTCCCATTCCTGTGGTCATGTCCTTCTCACTCATTTGCATCCCAGTGCACTTTCTTCAGTGGAAGAGAAGGAATTGCAACCGGAAGACAGGGAGTTAGTTACACCCGGTTCTCAGTCATCTGGCGTTACCTCTGCCCGCTTCAAGCTTCCTTCCTAGAAGTGGACTCTAGCTGTATGTGATTTACTAGGATGGTGGACACCATTGGATTAATGGTTCACAATCTTCTAGGAAAGCATGTTAGGTGCTGCTGTGGAGATGCTAAAATCAACATTCTGATGTGCATCTCTGGGCCAGCAGCCTAAAGAGGACTTTGCTTCTTTTTGTTTGTTTCTTCTCCTCCCACTAAACCCATGCACTAGGGAATGCTGAACACATCACTGAGTAACTGCATCGTGCCTGATTCATTGACTTTCCAGGAGCCAACACTGCAATGAGATGCAAGCCCAGCCATTATGCCTTGTAGTTCAGGAGTGACTGGCAATATGAGTGACTAAAGAACCACATTAAAGTCTTGCCAGAAATTCCAGGTGGGCTAGAAGTGATTTCTTAGCTTGGTTTGCTGCAAGGTAAATTACTGTTCACATCACGTTTTTCTTTTTTAATGGGTTTAGAAATGAATGTGTTTTTCATTTTTCAAAGCAGTTGCTACTGGCATCAGAAATTCCAGTACAGTTCAGTAGCATGTCAGACAATCACAGAGCTCCATTAAGGAGGTGATTGTGCAATCAAAGATATTGAACAGATATTTCAACCATGTCACTTAGCAGCATGAACTCCTTGATCTAATTAATTTATATTTCTGGGCATTCAGTTCTTCTCCTTTAAAAATATAATATATACTTTTCTAGATGTTTCTATAGTAAAATACAGCAAAACTTGGCCACCAGGTTTGACTGACCAAGAATCTACACATATTTCCTCCATTCGCATGAACTTTCTACACCCGAACAACAATTTGCGATGTTTTCCACCAAGAGCTGGGAACACATTTAATAAATAAGAAAAACAGCTGCCACTCATCATTTGACAGACTCAAATCAAAAGGGAATGCAATTTAATAGGGAACCTGATTTTACTTTGAAGCTGTTGATTTAAATTGATGGCTGGATCAGGGTTGCCAGGGATCCCAGGCTGCAAACCAAGAAACCGAGATCAGACTTGTTGGGGAAGATGGTTAAGAAAGATGAGGTGAGCAGCCTGTCTGAACCCTCTGGGCTCTGAAGAGTTCCGTCCATGTGCGCTGCATCAAACAAAGCACGTGGTCAAGGACAGTGTCTCCTGACCTGCTGTGCATCTGACTTGAAACTGGGTTGACCTCAAACTAAAAGTGCCAACGAAAGATAAAAGGGTCCAGAATCATTTAAAAATAAATCCTAAAGGTAGACCGGAGACACCTATGGGGTTAATGTAACATAAAATAGGGGATTTCTGCTCCAATTGGTATTATTAAATTGTTTGGTGAGGGTGGGTGTGCTTTTAAAGAAGTTATGTGTGAGTTATTTTAACAATGGGGGGCGGGGTGGAGATGTTTTCAGATGTTTTTCTTTTAGGGGAAAGATACCAGATTTTAAAATAGAATGGATTCAATTTAAGGCTGTAACAATATGTCATGTAACTCAGCAGACGTTTTCCATAGTCCGCAGAGATGGGAGGGAGCGTGGCGTTGTGGGAAGGAGATGCTAGATGTTCTAAGAGTGATGGCATTTGTTGTTATCCTCCCAGAGGGAGAACAGTCCGTGTGCAGATGAGAGCAGGAGAAATGAGTTTGAAACTCCAAAATATTCAATATGGCTTGTGCTCAAGGGCGAGAGAGATGGCAGCGGCCCCACCACAGAGCCCTGGAGCTCAGAGCAACCCCTCACGCAAAAAGTAAATAGTCCGAACTAGATACACATTAATTTTCCAGCCAGTGAGGATTTTGTCCTACTTTGAGGTCCCTACTAAGCAGCAATGGGAAGTTCAACTCTTTTTGTCTCTCTGTGGTTTGTTAATTAGAGCCATCATTTCTACTCTGTCATTGGATCATATGCAAAGTGAGAATTTAATTATTAAAATGGCAAGGTCAGCTTTCCTATGGGATGAGTGGAGTGTGAGAACCTCATTTACAGTTACTGTTTCTTAACGGTTGCTTACAGATAGCCCCACCACGTGTGTACTCTGCTACCTGTACAGACCTCTCTGCATTATCCGCAAGTGACTCATTCATTCGTCGTAATTCACAGTGGTCCTTGGTCACCAAATGTCAACACTGACCAGAAGTTGTGTGTGTTTTTGTTCGTGTGCCTTTCTGATCCACTTCTGAGGCAGAATCCTTATTTTCAGGCTGTATCTGACCTTTTTTTTTTCCTCTTGACTCAAATTGGAGATTAAGAAAAGGTAGTAGAACATTTGACTAAGCTAGAGCAAAGGAGTTTCTTATTTTCTTTTTTAAAAATAGCAAACAAACACTCAAAACTTGGTTAACTTTTACAGTATATCCAGAATTCATAGCTTTTGGGTGGTTAAAAAATTACAATTTTTTAATGCCGTGAAGTGCTTTTGTTTCTCTTCGTGACTGTCATGGTGGATCCAGGCACATTACTGTGCACCTGATACAGTAAACAAAGTGATGTCGACAAGCATAAGGAAGTTGGAGTTGCTGGATCCCCCTTTAGCAGTTGCTTTTGTATCGTTATTTGTTGGTGGAAGACAGTTAAGATGCACGTATGCATTCATTTGCCATGAAGATAGTTTTTTAAAAGACATTTTTGAAAAGTGGCCATGGAATGCTATGTTTGGTCAGAAATCATTTATATTTTTCTTATGCCTTTGCTAACTAATGCACTTGAAATGGAAAAAGGGAATGCTTACATTTACATTTTTACCATAAATAAAATTCTTGTGTGTGACTTAATCCTCTCAGTTTGCATAGTTGGCTATGTGGGGACCCTGGCATGTGACTGATCCTTAGAATTAATCACTGAAGGGAAAGGGACATCTTAATTTTATGGTTTCTGAGACTTTTTTCCCCCCCTACATTTTAACATCTCTGAAATCAGAATGCATTTTACAAACTCCTAAAAACAGTGAGCCATATTTTAATTGACCAGGATTTCTTTCTTACTGACGCATAAAGTAGGGATGAATCAGGTAATTCATGGTACCTTAGATTCCATGAAATATGGTAATATTTTACAGAGTGCCCAGTAAGATTATCGTACAAAAGTACTAGATCAGAATATTAGAGTATTATTTCAAAAGAACTGATAATTTAGTCAGCATTTAGGGCCATCTCTTTGGCAATTTAAAATGTTGTAAATGTAAACATTAAAGTTTTATAACTGTAAATATAAATTTTATAAAACCTGAAAATTTAATTCTCTCTTGAACGGATGTTTACCCTCGTGTATATCAGAATGCCTGCAAGTTCAAGTGTCTTCTGCTCAGCTTTTCTTTTGATATGTGCTAGAAATGTCTTCAAGAGAGTTTTGAAGGTTTTGGAAAAGATTTGTATTTACATTGGTGAAAAAAAGAGATCATTAGATTTCCTTTCGTTGCTGGCTTTGTGCCCCTGGGAGAATTACCCTGAGGGCTGAGAGCCAGAAGATTCTCACCATGAGCCCACAGGCTACTGCTCCAAAGCCTTAAAAAGCGCCCTCAGGCCTGAAAAGGTCCATGCGGTCACCCCCAGGTACTGGAACCCAGATTTACACAGCCCGGACTTATAAATTGCTGAAGGGAACATTTTAGGCATTAAATGGCATATGCGTACATTATAGAATTTTTTTTTTTTTTTTTAGACAGGGGAAGAGAGGGAAACATCACTGTGTGGTTGCCTCTTGTGTGCCCCCTGCTGGGGACCTGGCCTGCAGCCCAGGCCTGTGCCCTGACTGGGAATTGAACCAGCGACCCTTTTGGTTTGCAGACTGGTACTCAGTCCACTGAGCCACACCAGCCAGGGCCATTATAGAAATATTTATAGTCACAATAAGCGCTTGGTTTGTGTTCTTGACTTTAGTTTATCAACTGCATTACACTGAATATATTCTTTTTTGTTTTGTAGGTTGGATCTACGACATCACACAAAAATACGATTTTTCCTTCTATATATGTGGTTTACTTTACCTGGTAGGAATATTCTTTTTACTCACTCAACTGTGTATTCAAATTATACAACAATCCAGGAAAAAGCCCAGGGGTGGTGCACATGTGTAGTGTCATGTTATGTTTCATGTGAGATTTCTTTGTGGTTCTCACACCTACCTCACCTGGTCGCTGTGAGGGGCCGATGACAAATCATGGGAAAGTGCTCTGTACAGTAACTGGCACTGTCACTTGTAAATGCCATTGTCATTGCTTCACTTGAGAGCAGCACTGCCTTCTTCCGCTTGGGGAGCAGCGACACTGAACAGTATTCAGGACTCCACGCGTGTAAAGGTGACAATGGCCTCCAAAGAGAGCCTATTAATAATTGGTAGAAATGCCCTTATAAAAACTGTTCTCTCTCATCATCCACTGGGACTAGGGTGTTAGACACAGCTTTTCAAAACAAAGACAAGGAATAAAAGCTTTTTAGTTCAACTATAGGCAGACCTCATTTTATTGCGCTTCACTTTATTACTGTTCATGGATGTTGTGTTTTTTACAAATCGAGGCAAGGCCCTCAGCTAGCCAAAAGATTACAACTCGCTTTATTGCAATACTCGCTTTGCTGCGATGGTCTGGAACTGAACTCGCAGTATCTCTGAGGCGTGCCTGTACTTTGTGAAATGAAAATAAAGTATCTAAATGCCTCTAGAAAGCTCACAGATAAATGGGTTTTAAGCACAAGAGTATGACTAGACTTCAGAAATTAATTGTCACAGGGAGCTATTTCTCTCCCACTGTAAAATAAACACAGGCTCTAATTTCAAAAGTAATACATGTAGTTCAATTAAAGAAAAAATATATATATTTTTATGAAAGACTTCTGCAGCTAGGGAGTACAATTTCTCAATATTCCTCTAAGAAAAGCATTTGCCATTAATCCTAATTCAATAGAATCCACTTACAAACTGACTCGTAAGACACAATCTAAATAACAATTTCCTTAGTGAACATTGTATTTGTACTCAGAACAATCAAGGGCTATAATTCAAGCACTTTTATTCATATCCTTGGCCTCTTTGTTTATGAGCACAGTGTGGGGCCTATAAGTTTTTTCCTGAGTTTCTCGTGCCCAGTACATAAAATAGAGAACTAATTGCAGGTTGACATGAAGTTGGTGGTTAAATCATTTGTAAAGTGTGTTACTAATCCAGAACATAAGACTGTGAGGTTGTGAGGGTCCTAGCAGAGTGGCCTTGGTCTCGGCGTCTGGGCACCTGACATTGGAGTAGGGTAGCCAATAGCCCGTGTCTGCACCGTTTTAAAAATAGTCTCTTGATCACAGAAGATAGCTGTGATCCGTGACATCAAATAATGTTCTTCCTCTATCTGAGATCTCTATTTTTCTAAGCCAAACATTTTTCAGACTGCAGAATGTTCTTCCCAGAATCATTTTGAAATTTCTGGCTGCCTTACTTGTTTACACATATTTTAGAACTGTTTAAATTTCTACTCACAATTTGCTCATCACACACCAAAATCCTTTACTGTCATTGCCAGTGTCTTGGGTCAAATTTATCTAAAGTGAGTACAGACCATTCTCAGTTATCCTTGGTAATTAGAGGCAAGAATGGTACTAGCAATTAGAATCACAGAATGTTACCCTAAGCCTAATTTTAGCCAGCGGTTTCAATCTTTACTCCATAAAACCCTTCGGAGCTGTTAACAAGTGATTACATAGACAAGTTTCCTTTTTGTTTCATCTTCATTTTTCCCTGCCCCGATGCATAGTAGGAGGGGTTGTGTAATGAGAGGGACCCCGGAAATAACAATAATAATAAAGGGCAGCTAATGGAAAGGAGAAACAACAGCATAGCTAATATACACACTCGATATTACCTCCAATGATTCGAGAATTGCCTGTAAATCATTTAGATAATAAATTGTATGACACACCCCATTTGGTTCAACACAATGACCCATTTGGTACCATCACAGTTTTGGCTGCTGTTGAAGAACCCAGCTCTCTATTTTGATAAAGCTAATCTTAAAGCCTGAGGCAACGTTCTATCTTTCTCTATATATTTACCATATAATTAGGATAATTAGATTGAAAAGTCAGTATGTGTTTTAAAACTAACTAGCGGACTGCATTACTTTCATTTTCTGACAACACCAAATTAACAAGAGGCAGTGTTCATGATTTTGAATGGTGCTATAGCCGATGCTCGCACTGCTGGTTATGCAAACATAAATATCAACTTTTTAATCCACGGACCCAGCTTTAGTGTGAGGTCCAAGTTCAACCTGCTCACATTCAGTTTGCACAGTTGTTGTTGACGGATTGTATTTACGGAAGTGGTGGTTTCTACATCAGAAGTTCCCATTTCACCAAAATAGAGTAAAATCTGCCTGCAATATTCATGTCGACAACAGAGTAAAAGAGAATGCTATAAAGAATTACAGCACATGTATTAATATTTCCTGTTTAAAAATGTTATGATTCTTTGAAGATATCATAAAAGGTTAACTGTATATTTATGTTATGTGCTTTGTAGTTTCCCCCTCATGTAGCCAATTAATTTTTACTTACATACAACTAAATAAACGTTGTCCTGTTTAACTCCTAAAGTGTAACTGATGATTATCTGTTTGGTTCCTCCCCTGGGAGTTTTTCTTAGGTGGGTCATAAACCCAGCTGGAGAGATTCACCAGGGTGTCAGAAGCCCAGCTATTAAATTTAAAATGCACACAGCTTTTCATCTGTGTTTTCATCTGTGTTTAACGATTGCATTTCTCAAGTTTTTTCTTACACATGAACAAGAATTTTTTTTTATGGCTCGTTGTACGAAAAGACTGGAAATAATTGTATTGTCCATCAGTAGGGAACTTCTAAATAAAATATGGCATTAGAAAACAATATCCAGGATATATCTTTAAAAGAAAAAAAATGAGATAAAATACAGTTAACGTGCCCCCCTCATTGTGTTTTGTTAATGAAAGAAAGTTATTCATGAGACTTGTGTATGTATAGAACATTTCTGAAAGGAAACACAAGAAAACATGAACAGTGGTCGGCTCTGGCAAGAAAAGTTTAGGATAGGTCTGACTTTTTTCCTTATGTACGTAATGCTTTTTCGGTTTAAAACTTGTATCTAAGGTAATTTTAAATGCAGATTCCTGGGGCTACTTAAAACCTAATGAATTGGAACCTTGGGGGATGAGGCCAATAAACCTTCCTTTTAGATAAGCTTGTCAGTTGGTTCTTACACTCACCAAGATTGGAGACCCACATCAACTGTACTCCAATCCAGGTCAAATACTTGTTCTGTCTCTCTGGCATTGACTATTTTCCTTTTATACAACGTCCTGGTCAATCACTGTCTTTGGAGCACTCGTAGTGTATAATACTTTTATTCTACTATGTCTTTCTGCTTCCCTGTTTCTTTCTCAATCAACAGATGTCATCCAAGCTTCTGAAAGAGCAAGGCAGGCAGATGCAGCACCGCCCCCTCGCCAATGAGCAGAAGTAAACTGCTGCTGCTGCACAGAACTAGCAGTGCCAGTGTGATAGCTAAGTTAAGGGGAAGTTGACTGGTAGCCTGTTAAGAGGAAACGGTCACTGATAACAGTTGCAGGGAGGTTCGGTAAGGTGGTCGAAGAACTGTCATAGGCACGTCTACTTGTCAACTGAAAGATGCAGACTACCAGTGCTGGACTTTCGGTCTCAAACTCTTGGGTCTCAGGTCCCCTTTATACTCCTAAAAACCACTGAAGACCCAAAGATAGGTTGTTTTTGTAGGTTGTATCTTATTGATATTTACTTTATTAGAAAGCAGAGCTGAGAAAATTTTTTAAATATGTATTAATTTTAAAATAATGATGAGCCTACTATGTTAATATATATTTCTATGAAAAGTAACCATATCCCCCCCACAAAAAAAAGTAAGAATAATGACATTGTTTTACATTTTTGCAAATTTCTTTTCTCTCTGGCTTCATAGAAGACAGCTAGATTCTTATTTCTTCTGCATTCATTCTGTTACATGGTTTTGATTGACAAATATGAAGATAATGTAGCCTCATATATAGTTGGAAAGGGGTGGATTATTTAAATAGTTTTTTCAAATAACTCGGGGGGGGGTGCAGTTGATATCACACCAAAACTCAACAAGTGGTATTTTTTAAAGGTTATTTGCAGTGTGGAATCTGACATGATATCACCAAAATTTTTGTAAAATGTTACATTAAAAACTGTTGATCTGTCTTGCAATTTGAACGGATCTCTGGCCCATTTATGATTTTACAACGTAGTGCTTTAGTCATTTGGGAAATATTGGTCCACTGAGTTTTGTAGATCTTCCAAATGTTTTCATAGCTCATAAAATATTTTAAAACATCCCTTGATCTTTGTGTGATTCCATTTAGAGAAAATGTTCAGAAGAGGCAAATCTGTAGAGATGGAATGTAGATTAGTGGCTGCCAGAGCCTGGGGAGAGAGAGAAATGGGAGTGACTGTGAATGGGCACAGGCTAGCTTTCTGGGGTGAAGAAAATAATCTGGAACTAGATCATCGGGGTGGTCACATAAATGTGTGAATATATAAAAACCACTTTAAAAGGGTAAATTTTATGGTATGTGAATTATATCTCAATTGGGAAGTGGACAAGCTCACGGAGGGCGATAAAAGTTTTCCAAGATTCTAATTTCCTTTTCAAAGTTTAAATATATTATCAGTGGCAACAAATATCACAGTTATTTTCCTGGAAGCGGCAGCCTCACTTTCAGTAACATGTCTGCCAAACAAGAACGAACATGGTATCTCAAGAAAAAAGCAGTCGTTCTGTCTGCGCCGCAGGTACTCGAGTGCTCTTCCTCGAGACCCCTGAGCTGGCATTCGTACTTCCCGTTTGTCACACAGAACAGTAAAAAGATGTGGATTCAGGGAAAGACTGAATAAAAGGTGATGATTTTACTCTTTCTCCAAGGATATCTTTAAGTGAATCTGACCATTATTTGATGGCAAGGACATGGCAGTGAAATACACAATGGCTCTGGCATCTGTTGGTGATTCGTACTAACGCGCCAACAGTTTGACCCACCGTAGCTTTTCCAACCCGGAGAGTGAATAATGTTATTCAGTACGTTGCCTGTTCCAAGCATTCACATGAGAGATTTTTAACTAGTTGGTGTGATACTGGACGAATACAAGCAAAACGATGAATCCAGACACATCTATTGATTTGTCATTTGTAAGATAAAAGTAAAGCTCTACAGACAACGTATTAACTCAGCCTTCATGTCTGCAGCTACATCTTTACTTTGACAAGATACTGAACCATCAGAAAGTGGTACGTCTGTGCTTTCTTCGGCTGACTCTCCATCCAGCAGGCAGTCAGCAACGTCAGCTGCCCCGGCTTACAGGCCTTTCTCCAGGCGATTCATGCAGTCACTTACCCTGCAGGGCACGTCAGCGGCTTCTGCCCCGCTGGTTTGAAAAGCTGTGATCATCTGTTTTGAGCACATAATGGACCATCACATCTACATTTAACATATTCCATTCCTTTTTCTTTAGACTCTGAAAGATTACTCTCAAAATGATGTCACAACTTAAGAGGTACCAAAAAGGTAAAATTTTAACTTCATACAGTCAACGAAAAGATACCTTTGGAGTCATAATTGTTTCAGATTCACACTTTTTTAAGAAGATTTCAATGCCATATTTTTCAGCATCTTTAGGCTTAGATAGTGCAGCTGTGGGGTGAAAAAGCAAGATTTCTACTCTCCCTTTTGAAAGCTCACGATTGCCCCTTAAACATCACAGTGAACAGAGTGCAGCTTACGTGAACTGGAGGTCTGCGAGGTCAGGCTGTCCACAGAGCAGTGAGGAGCGGGGAGAACGCTGATGCTGAACTGCAGAGGCTGAGCAGCAGCAGCATTTGTCGCCTAGGGAAGAGGAGCTGAGCCGTGGCAGAGAGCTCAGACTGCAGCAACGCACTAACAAGGGCGGCCCAACCATGAGAAGCAGAGCGGGTCTCCGATTGGCCCTGGGGAGCCTCTTCCACGGCCAGGCGAAGTAGTGGAGGGAAGCAGCAGGGAGAAGAGAGGACCGAGTCCGGGAAAGTACCAGTGAGCCATACGCATCATCTCCCTACTCAATTCTTTACTGAGTTTTTCCTAAGAGTGTGTGAGCATCTTGAAGAAGTCATTCCTTCCTTGTTATTTAAATGAGCTTAAGATAATCTTTAGAATTGGGTACTCATTTAGTTCGTTAAAAGCTTGGAACATTCTCTGGACAACTAAATTCGAATGGTCTCTTATATTATGCCCCAAGTGCTACCCCTTATAATTTCAAATCTCACCTGGGGCGAATCCCATCACCTTTTCATGTTCCACTGGTCAAACATGGTGTTGGCTCTGAAAGGAGACGTGGAGCCTTTATGGTTAAGAACATAACCACGGTAGCTACCGATGTGAATCTCAGCTTCACCGCTTACTGGTTATGAGACTTTGGAAAGATCAACTTGTCCCTTTCTGAGAGCAATTGAGGCTTTGCAGGCCACACAATCTATACTGTGACTCTGTCACTGTGTGAAAGCGATCGCAGGTAATACATCAACTGTGGCCCAATAAAACTTTATACACAGAAACAGGTGGCTGGTCAGATGAGACCTATACCATAGTTTATAACCCCCTCATCTATGAGACAGAAATAATACTGTTTACCTACAAGGGTTGCTGTAAGAATTAAATTGGTTACTACCTGTTCATTCCTTGGTACGCAGTATACAATAAATGGAAGCTGCTATTATTATTTCTCAGAGTATTCCAGCCTAGTCTGTGGCCATGGATCTATGGCACTGAGACTTTCTGGATGGACAGAACCAATTTCCCACTTGGAAATGACTGCTCTGAATGGAGATCTATGTTTGAGAGAAAGCGGTAAGTAGGTAGGATAAAGGGAGTCCTCTGTAGCTCCTACCCCTGAGGGTTCCATGTCGCACGGGCAGTCTCATGCCATCCAGTGTGGGGATGATGTCCTTTCAAAACAATAAAGAGGTAAAGCTAACGTAATAATTGTACTTTGTAAAATGACAATATATAATGTTGTGCTTTTAACTGCAGGTGCACATTTTTCTTTAGTGTGGTGGTACCTTGTCTACGTAATGTTTTGACATCCAGTCAAAGACGCCCATTGCACGGTGAAACCAACTGTTCAGAGTTGAAAAGTTTGGACACTCTCTCACTATATTGTCTTAACACAAACTGAAGATTGTTATCACACTAAAGCTCAGATCAAAAAACTACGCTGCACAAATATTTTACGTTTACATTATTCTTTAGCATCTTGGGAGTTTGGGTAATAAATGAGGGCTAGTAACCATTTTGTATACAGGCAGCTTGGAAAACAATGACAAGTGGTGACTAGTCATTTGTCCCTACCTGTTTCCCACCCCTCTCCCAAATCATAATCTCTCCCAAATGCTTGTCATACTCAGCAAAATAAAACATTTTGCATTCCATATAAGTGAGGTTTCATCTACATACTATGCCAACCTGTTCAGGAAAAAGCAGTAATAGAAGTTAAAACAGCAGGTAAAATATATTTATTTTTTTTAGTTTCTAAATTACTCACATTTGCTATTGTTAATAAATTGTTCTAACTTTAAAACATAGAAAACATCAGAAAATATCAGTGTTTTATATTTATAATTACAATGGTAAATAACAACAGTAGAAACACTTTCTGGCTTGAAAGATGAGAAAGAGCAAGATTACACGGTGCCCTGGTACTTCACCCTGACATGGTGTGTTGTAAACAAGGCAGATTCACCCGTCTGCATGAAAGCTGCCAGGAGAGGCACAGAGGCAAAGCATCCCTACATTGTCATCCCATGGTTCGTCTTCCAGGGCCTAACACAGGAAATGAAGGCGGGGAGGGACACGATGTTTCACTGAGGGAGGATGCTGATGCGCTGCAGCAGGGTTTCAGGTTGGGGGTAACTGTTCATGTTTTGGCCAAAACTATTAGAGTCAGGTAATAAGGCACCCAAATTATGAAGACAAATAATTATCCTTTAATAATCTACCAACCTACATCATTTTAACTATTATGTAATAATAGTCAACATATTAATAACCCATTTCTTATTGCTGTTTACCTTTAGCGCCTATTTATACTGAAAGTTTTCAAATGGCCGTATTTGTGTTCTCACTGGTTCCTGCTGAATCTAGGTGGCCATGCGTGCCCATAAGCTTTCAGAATCTGTCAGATGATAGAACATAACTCATGAAATTTAGACGCTGTTGGCACTTGGCATCGATGTTACAAGTGGCGTGTAATTTTATATTTATACAGCCATGTTGATGTACCAAGTTGCGCATACACGCAACTGTTGCACACACATTGTGTTAACCTGAGTTCTGTCACTGAAAACCTGGCCAGGAGTGAAGTTGGGAACTTCAGGGAGAAATAGGCCGCAGGAGCCATGCAGAAGCAGGTGCCCTCTGCGCGCCTGGCAGTCACCCTGCACCTGGCAGGATGGCTCCTGGGCTGCAAACGAGGCCTGGGTCTCTCGCCAGAGCTCTTTGCTCTGTGCTTGGACTAAATCCAGGCACAACCTTGACTGGCTCCTCACCTGCAAGGGAGCAGCCTCCATGTGGTTTCACAGATGTCCCTGGAAGTCTATGACCAAGTGTTAAGGGTGTGTGAATGGGGCTGGTCTGATATTAACCCAGGTTTAGTAAAGAAAAAAACAATCCGTTACTAAGCCATGGCTAAGGAGCCATTCTAGAAGAATTTAGGTAGCAGGACAGCCAGAGTTCACCTCTTCTGCACCCTTTTGGAGGCCCCAAGAATCATGGGAGCCCCTCTGACATCAAAGTGAGGGGGATGGGTATGTCATTTTTTTCCTTGGTAGCAAAGGGGAGGCCGCGGGCAAGCAGAAACGAGAAGGTGAGCAAGATGGCGGGAGGCTGAAAGCTACTTTGCCCTCTAGCCCGAAGGGGTCTTCAGGTCGCCCTCTGCTAGGAGCTCATTGTCCGGGGGGCCTCACCACCAGGAGAGCCCAGGAAGAAAACAACTTATAAATAACCCATCTCAGGGAGGCAGACTTTCCTCCGCTAAAACAGTACTGTTTTCCCTCTGCCAAGTTAACAGCACAAACCATACTTAGGTTTTTACTCACTTACCCAGAGCCTGTGTTCTTAAAAGCCCCAGTTATCAACATGATAACTGCCACTTTCCTTTGGGGAACACGTCGTCCCTCTAAGGAACACAGGTTTACTTGGCGACGTGCGGTCCAGGAGGCTGAGCCTGACCCAAAGTCCAGCCAGGCCCTGGGGCCAGCGCAGAGCTGTCTCCACGAGGCGGGGGGGGGCTGCCACCTGGCACCCTGGGCCCACAGGTCGGGCCCTGAACACACACTTGGAGGGACAGGGTTGGGAAGGCAGCTGCGCTCACCGGGATGCCTCCTGGGGCCACTGCCCCTCATGGTTCCCTGCGGACACATGGCCACCGGCTCCATGGATGGACTCAGGTGACCAGGAAAAGAATTCAAAAGCTCAGTTCCCTTTCCCAAAGCCTAGATAGATACATTTTAAAAAAAAACTAATAATTTATTGTTTGCTTCTATATAGCAGAAGCTTCTTCTCTTGCGGATGGGGTCGGGGGGACATCGAGGGCAGGGGTCCCTGTCCTGCAGCCTTTGGGGAGTGGAGGCACGATTTGACTGATTTGACTGATTCGGCACTTGGTTCAGGCAAAGCCCTGCACAGTCGGGTTTGCTGCGCCTGTGAGCAAATACTCTCTGCCTTTCAGATGGCTCCTGAAACCACACAAACCTCTTGGTTCCTAACAAAACGGAAGAGATTTGGACACAGCAGAAAAACACGACCGTGCCTCAGCGCCCCTGCAGGAAAAAACATCTCCCTAAAGTTGACTGCTGCTCTGGCTCCCTTGCTTTTGTTTCCTCTTGCGGATCTGTCGCTGGAGCTGCAGCTTGTTGGTGAAGAACATCTGTCTCCAGCCCATCTCCTCGGCCAGGGCCCTCATGTCAGGGGTGATGTTGTCACAGGCAGACTGAACTATCATCTCCCACAGCTCGTCAGACTTGCACAGCTGTGGGTGGGAAAGTGAGAAGTGGGTTATGTCGCACGCGGGCTAAGTGCGAGGCATGCGCTCACTCACAAGATCCCTGCCCAAGTCCTGCTGCCTGTGGACGCTGGAAGAAACGCCGCGCGTGCACAAAGACGTGCCAGGCGTAGTTCCTGCTCCAGAAACTTCCTCTCTGAAGAAAGAGGCAAGTGCACAAGTATCTAAAGGACGAAAAGCAGCCCTGGCCGGCTAGTTCAGTTGGTTAGAGAATTGTCCCAGTACACCAAGGTTACAGCCTCAGTCCCTGGTCACGACCCGGACAAGAAGCAACCAGTGAAGGCATAAATAAGTGGAACAACAAAACAGTGTTGTTTTCTTTCTCCCTTCCTCTCTCTCTCTAAAATTAATAAACATTAAAAAATAAAGGTCAAAACAATATTTGATTAGTGGAATAAATCCTGATCTCATTTAAGATGCAGAAAGCAACTTAAATGATGTTCATATAAACATTATCTACTTAATTTCCAATTAGCCTCATAGCAGAGACTAATAATGGTGTATATGGTCAACTGATCTTGTACTCGGTCCTGCATTAGCTTCTCAAGTGGGAGCAGTTAATTCCTGAGAAATTTGCACTCATTTTAAACGCACATTCAAGCCATCTCTCCTCAGGGCTTGTACAGCTGATAGCTCAGTCCACTGCAGGCTACTCAGTGTCGAACTGCATCAAAATGGCCAGGCAGCCCCTGGAGGCTGCCAGCGGCACAGGGAAAATCCACCCCTCCCAGGTGCCGCAAGTTTTGCTCCAAGTCCTTTGCACTCATGACATTGCGTGATACACTGGGAATGGCCTAAGAGACTCAGTCCACTCCCGAGCCCACCTGGCACCTGGCAAAGTGAGCCGTTCCCCGGGAACGCCCTTCTCTGAGACGCTTTTCTGCAGTCTGGGACTTGAACCAGGGGCCATGAGGTTGAAGACAGACAAGACCCCTCTGGCCCAATAACTGCACAAGGCCATTCTGCCCTCCCTCCAAGTTCAAAGCTGCCACAATTCAACTTCCATTCACCCAAGATTTGCTAATATGACTTTTTCAGGTGGCACCATTACTTACGGCAACTAGTCTCATCCGTCCCCTGCTACGTAACACTATGGATATGGAGGTTTCCTGGTGCCTTATCTACCAGGCTCCGAGTCCTTCCTGAAGACAAAGCTTCTGCTATGCATATTTCGAAGGCCCGGCCTGAGCAATAACCATGGATTTGTGGTGTGTGCCAGAACAATGACATTTAAAGGCACTTGGATATTTGGTGTTGCAGAGTGGTGACCCCAGCGACCCAAAACATGCTTTACGGAGGGTTCCACAGGGGCCTCAGCGACAGACATGGCTCAGCTCCATCCTTTCTGTGCCAATGATGCACTTGGGGCAGCTAATCCCCGGCCTGATTCCCTCCCTTCCTTGGTTCTGTACAGGGTTGACAGGTGCAATTCCAGAAGTGGGAAGAGCTAGGCCTGGCGAAGGACCCGTGAGGAGCCCACAGTCCCCTTGGATCCGCGGCCCCCTTGGATCAGGCCCCTGAGGCACGCGGGCCTGGGCCCTCCTCTGTGCGCGTGGGCTCGTCCACAGGAGCCGCCACAAAGGCTTCTCTATAAGGAGGCGAAGAAAGACAAGAAGCTAGGGGCCCCACAAGGTCAGCTCTGGTGGGAAACAAGATTATCCATGGGAATGGCCAGGGCGGATCACATGCCTACGAATAATAAAGAGAGTTGACCTGATTGACATGATAAAAATAGACTGAACTCATTTTCACCATTTAAAATTTCTTTTTAGGGGGCAACTTGCCCCCTTTCATAGCGGAGGCAGCCAGGCATGGTAAAAGCCCTCAGATTCCAGAATGCAGAGTCTGATTGTGCCCTGTTTGGAAGGCGTCAGTGGGTAGGATCTGAACCCCTATAAACACAGGCACATAACGACAAGGAGGAACAAAGCGCCTGGACGGCCGGAACAGCTGTCGGGAACCAGTGGGCTGGAGCCTGTGCCCTTCGCTCTGTAGGAAAGGGCTTCGCTCGTGGCCTCGTCCTTCTTCCTCTCCTCAGAATTTACTTCCGTTCAGCCTACCACGATAGCCCTCAGCAGCTCAGCCCCCGCTACTTAGAAGGGTGGTTGACACTGAGGCAGGAGAGTGAAGGCAGAGAAAAATGACAGGTAAGAAACTAACAATAAGGGGGAAAATGTAAAAGAGTGAAATATACACAACAATTACTCCAGTTGGGACCAGACACGCTGTTTCACAATTTCCAATAGCCTACTCATTCATTGATCTGTCCACCCACCCATCCAAACGATGTGGAATGCCTGTGCCACTGGACAGGGCTCTTGGTTTCAGACCACAGAATGTAATCTAGGTTGTTTAAGCAGAGGGGGAGTCAGCAGACGCAACACATCGCTCACAGAAAACCAGAGGGAAAGGTTCAATGCTATAGAGGAAGAGCAGCAGCCAGGATAATAAACAAAAAAACAAGCAAGCAAACGCCCAGACTGTTATACAGAAATCACACTGTTTCTGCTCTCCAGCACCTGGCCAATAGGATGCGATGATGCTTTGCACCAGACAAGCTCCCGTGCGCCTCCAGGGCCACGCTTGCAGGAAGAGCCCATGCACGGGGGCTGCCTCACCTGGCTCATGTCTCCCTGCCAAGGCTCTTCCTTCCAAGCAGACGGGTCTGCCTGACAGAGGCCGTTCTTATCTGCAACTCCATCTAGCACAAGGGAGTTACATGGCTGTGGAGCAAACCAGTCCACAGCATCCTCTGGGTCTGACCGGTCCAACCTGGCTATTCTCATCTACACAGTCCCTTCCTCTGTCCTGCTTTACTCCCTTGGACCCTAACTTCTTCATGGGGAGGGGAAAACACATGTTCAGCGTTATCTCTATTTCATGACTCCACTACACCCATTTTTGAGGAGAAAGCCGCCAGTACTCTTTACTTTCAGATTTCATGCTATTGTGGAAGTGCTCTGATAAGGAACAAAAAATGATTCACAGAAATGAGTAGTATAACAAAGTTTAACCACTGAAGACTCCTTCTGCACAAACATCAGAGCAAACACTATTACAGTTGCATAATGGTTACTGTTGAGCTGCAACGCTGACTCTCAGGGCAATGACAGCTGCCCAAACATTTTGACATTAGGCAGGTTGCTCATTGTCTTATCCCACCCACCACAGTCATTCAAGGTCTAGTTATCCTATTCGGATTACAACATATTCTTCTAAATATAAACAATAAAGGAAAAAGAAAGTGGCTTAATATTAAAAAACAAAACAGATCTGAACATCCTTCAAAAGATTTAAACTCTAACGCTAGTGTAGATGACTACCCCATTTCCAGTAAGTACATTTCAGGATATCATCAGCGTGTCTCATGTAATGAGATTATGGGAGAAAACTGAGGTTTTCGGGAAAGGAAAAAATTCTCAAGAGAGCTGTAATTTCCACCAGTGTAACTTCATTTATGACTCATTTTATACTGAAAATACTTACATTTTTGTTTTATATTACAAGTTGGTCATAAAATACTTTCAGCAAGACTTCCAAGCCCTGGGCTTTTTTGCTTGGTAGGTGCCAGGTTGCAAAACAAAAAGGTAACCCAGGCAGACCATGCTTTCAGTTACTTTGATTCCAAGCACAGCAAAGTGTGGGCTTTAGCGCCCCCTGGTGGTGGTGTATGAACTTAACATACAGAAGCTATGGTAAAAGTTGAAAGGGATCCTAGGGCTTATCTAGTTAAAACCTCTCTTTTTACAAACGGGGAAATTAAGGCTCAGAGAGGAAAAGGGTACAGCTGCTCAAGGCTTAAGGTGGGGAGTGGCTGAGCTAAGAACAGAATCCAGCTCTCTGGCTTCTTGCTGCTTCAAATAGCCACACTGGCCTGGTTACAGGAAAGATGGGAAAAGCCCTCTCCCCACCCCAAGCTGCTAGCCTTTTATAGAATCTCTTGAGATATTTTGTATGCACAACTCTGATATCAATGGGTCAAATCCTTGGGCTGGACCCTTAGCATCGGCCTGCTGTAAACACAAGAAAACACATCAGAGGCCGGACATTGGGTGCGCTTCTGCCGCCGGAGTCAGGCCCTCCGGGCGCAGGCCTGGCGTCGCCCATTTCACCTGGTCCCTGGGTGCTCCACCCACTTGGCCAGACTTGGTGACCACGGTCGAGGGGCATGAGGAAAGATCTGTTTCTCCATAGCCAGAATGTAACAGAGGGGAGATTTTCCTCCTCAGGGTTCCTGAGTCACGGCCAAGATGAACACGTTCACATACTAGGCACGATTGTCCTTCCTGTGTCTGAGCCTCAGCCTTCTCTTCGGGCTGCAGGGGGGGTTTTGGGGGGCTATTTTGTGGCAGTTTTCAGAAACAGCATAGTCTGTGCCGGGTGCCCCCAAGAGCCAGCCAGCAGGCCCTCGGGCAGGTCCCCACGGGCAGGTCCCCACGGGCAGCCTCAGCATGGTGAGCTTGCTGGGATCCCGGGATCCACCTCTCAGGTGTGCTCCTGTTGGCCAGGCTCCCAGAGGCTGCCTCCCCGGGGCTTTGCCCTGGGAAATATGAACAACCAGTCCACCGGGCCTTCACCGTGGAGCCTCTGTGGCTTGGTCAACACAGAATCAGAGCAAGGGGAGCAAGGGCAGGTAGCAAGACGGTCCTGCTCGCTGGTGGTATTAAATTTGATAAGTGGAAACTTCCATTCTCAACGTGGGATGGCACCGTGGGCTCTCCCAAGCTAGGGCTTCTCCCACCCCCAAATCCACACACCACATCTCCACGTGTCTTTATGCTTCCAAGGCAGGCCTACTGCTGCAGAGTCAGGCTGGCCTTGGAAACCTTTCTGTCTCATACAGGTGACCTTGCAGCTCTCATTTTCAACAGGATCTGTTAAAATAGCACCTGACCACTGAGGACGGAAATTGGCAACCTGGAAGGGCCTTGCTTTAGAGCACCAGTGAGGTATGGAGAGTATTTTCAAGGCTGCACTAAAAAAGTGGCAAGACAGTGAGACGGCGAATAATAGTGGAAATGAGCAAAACTTGGACAGAGGACAGTAGTTTGATGTAAGGAATAAATTCCACAAGACATGGCCATTTCCTACTGAATCCTTCCATTTACTTTCAGGAACACCCCAGGCCCTAACAGAAGCTTTTATTAGACCCCCCACTAGAATCTTTCATTTACTTAAAATTCTCTTCATTTACAGTATGAATAACCAGCTTCTTATCAGCAATAAGGACAAAATCTTTAATATATTTTTAATGGCTGTGTGTGTGTATACCTATACAAGAGTGTGTATGTGTGTGTGTTGATTGCTCATAATACTTGTTTCTAGCCCTCCTTTTGGGAAGCTGGGGGTGCAGGAAGGAAGTCAATTTACAAACTAGCTCAAGGGGCAGGAACCACGGTACCTTCCAGGATCGGGGGAGGCACTAACAGTGTTCGCATCAAGGCCCTGCAATGGGGTGAAATCGGTGCCAACTCTGCTTTCTGCTCTAGGTTGTTCTGCTGAGGATTCTAAGTAGTAAGAGTAAGTCCACTTAGTCAGCTTGGGGTGTGGAGGAAGACAGGACACCATGAGTAAGTACCCCCAAACCACCCGTCCTGGGAGATAATTAATTCAGCAAATGGCTCTTAGTGGAAGAAACAAAAATGGATAGGGGATGGTCACTCCTTGCCTTATTCTCTTGTGCTGTCTCGCCCCTGCATGAGCTTGTACCTTGACTTGAAATGTCCCTTGATCTAGTTGGCCAGATCCCTTGGCAAACTCCTATTTTCCCCTCAAAACCCAGATGCAGTAGCCCACTTCTGTGAAGCTAGGCAGAGGAAATCACTTTGTACCACCTTTGTACCTTGAACACACACCCCTTGTTGAGTTGATCCCACTACATTGTAATAATTTGCATCTGTGTAGATATCTCCTACGAAACTATAAGTTTCCTGAGGGCAGAAATAACATCTGCCCGTCTCTGCTGCCTCTGCGCCTAGGGCGGTGCCTGTCATCAAGTGAGCATTGAACACATGCTTGCCGAGAGAAACGCGAATAACAAATGCTATATTAAAAAAAGAAACCACTTTGAGAAAACACAAAGGAAAGTTCTCGATGGACACAAAACACTTGACCATTACCTTTGAAAATCTGTGGGATGTTAGAGAAAGGTTGGTAACATCTTCGAGATCCAGATAAGAAATGATATTCAGAAGCAACTTGTCTGGGAGCCGCTCAAGGAAGTCAAATTTACCTTCACACAAATTGAAGACATAGTCTAATGTTCTGGCACCGAATATTAAGGCAATTTGAACTGTAATGCAAAGAAACCGACATGATTATCATACATTATCACTAAGACACAAGCTTTGGGGCATGCTGCCCCCCCGCGCCACCGGTGTTAAGATGATGCTGGGGCGCCCCCACTCTCACCAAACTGCCCGTGGGCCCAGCGGCGGGCACTTGCGAGGCAGTCATTTCGCAGCACCATTCTTGCCGTGAGAACAGAATGTTAGGGGAGGGACAGTCAGTGTTTAACACAGTGATGGACTGCGTCCCCTTGATCTCATCAGCGCCAAATCCCAGTCCAGGCAACGGACTTGACCAGCCTCGGCGTCAGCATCATCCCATCCTCTCAGCCTCCCTGACTGCGCACGGACGCTGGTCCATGTGGCTTTTTTGCCGCCCCTTCTCTCCCCAGATTGTTCTGAAACACGTATCTCTTAATTTTATTTAATTCTTGTTTTTTTATTGTTGTATCTAGTGTCTCCACCAAAGTTTCTGGCTTCCTCTTTACCTTCTTTTTATCCTTATCTTTACATAATAGGAAAAAAAATGAGAGGCAAAGAGAAAAATAGATGAACATTTCATGAAAATTGTGTTAACTTTTGCCTAATATTTTTCAGACCTTCTTTGTTATTTCCAAATTAGGAAACAGTTCACAAAGAATCAACCAATATAATCATTTATGTCACATGTTCTATATAGGGGGAGATAAGGGTATTGTTTTTTTTTTTTAAGCCAGCTCCCTGAATAACCAAGAAATGGCTAATAATCAGTAGATGAGTGGATTAAAAAGTTGTACATTTACACAATGGAATACTGCACAGCCATAAAAAAGAAGGAAATCTTACCTTTTGTGACAGCAGGGATGGACCTGGAGATTATGCTGAGTGAAATAAGCCAGCCAAAGACAAATACTATATGATCTTACTTATATGCGGAGTCTAATGAACAAAATAGACTGATGAACAAAATAGAAACAGAGGCATGGATACATGAAACAGACAGCTGTGGGGGGTGGGGGGCGGAGCTGGGGGAAAGAAGGTGAAGGGATCAGCCAAAGAACATGTAGGCATGACCCGCAGACACTGACCACAGTGTGGTTAAGGCCAGAGAGAAGGGGGAAGGGGGCTGGATGGAGGCAGGCATAGGGGGCAATGGGACATCTGTAAGAGTGTCAACAATAAAAATAGTTAAATAAATAAATAAAATTTTCTTTTTAAATTTTTTCAAATAGCACTTATCAGCTACCTTTGAATGCTAACATATTTGCATCATTTTCATGTTTCGTAATGTATTTGTATTATGGTAATTGGTCACTGAATTAAAGAAAATTCTCTCTGGCTCTGCCATTTCTAATAAATAGGAAAACATGCTTGGAAGGACACAGTTTCAAATTTTAACAGTGGTTGTTAAGGTGGCTTAACAAAACAGGATTTTTTTTTTCCTCACACAATCGGATTCTGAAGGCGAGCTGTGAGGACCGGTGTAGGAGCTCCACTATGTTACTGATGTCCAGGGTCCTTCAGCCTTTCTGCTTCATATTCTAGGATGCAGCTCTCACCCCCAGGGTCCCTGTAAGATGGTCCTGTCCGCAAGGTGCCAACCATAGTGCAGCAGGTAAAGGGGGCGGGGCGGGGCAGGGCGCAAGAATGCGCAGGGAAGCTGAGGCGTCCCTGTCTGGAGTCACCTTCTGAGAAGCTCTATGGAAGAGCTCAGCTCGCATCTTACTGAGAGAAAGTGGGTCACACAGCCACATCTGCAAGGTAGGGGGAAATGGAATCAAGGTAACAAAAGGAAAGGAGAAAATGGGAGCCAAACAAAAAAGCACAGAAAAAGTATATGATAAGATGAAAGCACAAAATAAGATGATAGAAATTACAGGCATAGTAGTCATCATAATCAATGTAAATGAATTAATCATGCCGGGGAAAAGGCTCTCAGGCACACACGCAAATAATTCTGCCTATGTGCTATTTATGAGACATGCTTAACATTAATGACATGGAAAAGTGAAAGTAATAGTATGGAAAAAGACTATTTCAAAGCAAAAGAAAACATATGACTAGCAGACAAAATATACTTTAAAGTAAAACTCGCTATAGGTGATAAGAAAAACCATCACTTACTGATAGAAGAAACAATTCACCAGGAGGATTTAATACTTCTAAACTAGTATACCTAACTAGCCTCAGTCAAGGAAATGATTGAATACACTATGGTTTATAATATAATAGAGACCATTGAAATGAATGAATTAGATCCACATATATTAACATGGATAAATCTCAAAAACAGTGTTGATGGATAAAACAAAGTTGTAAAACGATATAGTATGATATCATTCACACAAAATGTTAAACATAAAAATAGCATATATATTATTTATATAGTTGTAACTATGTATAACAAATATGTCTGGAAATGATACCAACTTTAGAACAGTTAATAAGAGAGAATAGAGGGGAAATTGATAGGTAAGGAGTAGAAACTTGAATATGTATGTAACTTTTTAGCATTTTTAAAAGATGTTAAGCAAATATGGTGCTCACTTCAGCAACATATATACTAAGGAAAAGATTAATATGGCCCTGAAGAAGGATGACACAAAATTAAAACTATTTAGAGTAGATTCTCTGATCACATGCAATTAAACTAGAAGTCAAGGCTCGGGGGGGGGGGGGGGGGGGAGCAGTTGGTGCGCCGGGGATGGTGAAGCGGGGTGATGGTGGGGAGAGTAACTGAAAAATCCCCAGCTACCTGGAAATTAAACAAAATGTTTCTAAATAGTCTATGAATCAAAGAAGAAATCAAAATAGAATTTAGAAAATATTTTAATCTGAGTAAGACTAAAGATACAACTTTCAAAACTTACCTAATAGAGATATAGCTGCACTTCAAGAAAATTTAGGGGGGAAACGGCTGTACACAATGATTAAGCTTCCACCGCGGGAAGAGAACAAAAATTAGACCTAAAGAAAGTAGTAGGAAGGAAGTAATACTAAAGGTAAGAACAGAAATTACTACTAAAAATAAATAAAAATGGAGAAAATCGGTAGGACTAAAAGTTAGTTCTTTGAAAAAAAAAATTTATAAAACTACCCCCCAACCAAAAAAAAGAAAAGAAAGCATGAATTACCGTGATCAAGGAATGAAGAAGAAAACATCACTACAGATACTACAGACACTGAAAGGAGAGGATATTCCAAGCAACCTCACCAGCATAGCTGATCACTTGGATCAAATGAAGCAAATGCGACTAATGGTAACATCTTTGGTTAGTGGTGCTGGGTATCTGTACTATTACTTCCTGTTTTTTCTCATAGCTGTGAAACATTTCTAAACTTAAAAGTTTTTAAAAGTCAAGGTGTAGAACACAAGGTGTTAAGATTATTCTTTTTGTGTTAACATATTTTGTATATATGCACATACCATCTCTGAGAAGATACACCAGAAACTGTCTCCTGTACTGTCTCTTAGTGCTTCTGCCCCTAACACTCTCCCATCCCACCCTCCACCCACAGAACAGACCCCAGGTCTACAGAAACTCTAGAAATCCATGCTGAAGACAGGGAGGGGCCAATCAGAGTCAGAGGTGGGCGGCCAGGCGGGAGAAAAAGAAGCCGAGGCTGAGACGTAAGCCTGGAGAAACGACCTCGAGAAAATGGATTATGAATCCAAACATGGGGCTGGCCTAGGCTCTGAAGAAGGTAAGGACTGTTCTTTCCCACTTTTCTGATTCCTGGTGTACCGCTATTCCTAAGAACGAGAACCCAGGCCCATATTTCAGGATATTAGTGTTTATTAGTATTATCAATTTTCCATTATGGTCCTCATTTCAAACACTCAGTCCCATTGTCTCCATAATCACCTAAATGTCCAAAGCAATTTCAAAACTTTGACATTGAAACTGTATATTCCCACATTTCCTTTCACGTTCACTACTAGAAATAAACAATCTTTGTCATTTGCTTCAGAAAGTATGGTTGCTGTCGTTTGGTTTTATCACGGGGATTTTTGAGAATTGCCCTAAATACTTAACCACCACTGAGAACTCATTCGAAGATCTACATGACCAACTTTAAAGTGGACAACCAACTTTAAAATGAACATAAGTTGGAAAACAACTTATGTTTACGTTGGATTCTATCACAACCCATGGATCAGCACTTTCACTTTATATTGCGTTTATATTGGCACATTTTTACCTTAAACTAAATTTTAAAAAAGCTTCCAATAGCTTATTTCCTGATTGTTCCTTTTATTTAACTTAGAAAAAATCTATAGATATTCCCTCAGATTTTTAAAGGTCTCAGAAAGAAAAAAACATTTCAAAATTCACAGACAAATGGACAAACAGGCATACGGGCAAATTACAGAAAGGATATAAATGGCAATTAAACATGACAGGAGGCTCAACTTACTCGTTATCAGGATAATGTTAATTAGACAAGATACTAATTTCACCATCTGACTGGAAAAAATAAAAAAAGATAGCAATATCTAATTAGTGATGGCAAAGGTGTAAGAAAACCCCCGTATCCTGGTGGATAGAGTGTCATTAACACAGCAGCTTTCAGGGGAGGCAATTTGTAAGTAGAGTAAATTGACTGGCATGTTATGTAAGTTTTGAGTGATTAGTGGACATTTGGTCCTGTCCAAAATGCCCACAGAGACATTTGGTCCATAATTAATAGAAATCCCCTTCTCCTGCAAGATTCGGGCCCCAGCCCATCTGCCTAATCCCATGGGCCACTCGTTACCAGCCAAGCTACCCAGACAAGGAGGGCTGCTATTGGCAATACAGCCACAACACAATTACTGGGCCAATGAAATATGATACTGTTTTTTAGGTACTAATCCTATAAACCAAAAGTAGAAATAAACGTCATGGGCTATGTGAACCCAGGGACATTTTCTCAGTGTGGATGTTTTGGAAAGGACCGAATTTCAAGAACCTCTTGGCATGGACCACATGTCTCTGTGGACGTTTTGGATGGAACCGAATGTCCTCCAAGGGTTTTAAGTTAC